GACTTATTTTTTCAAAAATATTGATCAGTATTTTTTAATCTTCAAGAATATTAGCATGTTTATTTGTAATGCTATCTAATATAAATACTTAGATACACAGAAGTATTTTGTCTGTAGGTAAGTATAAATACATAATGTAGATACACTCGATGCACAAGAAAAAAAACTAGGAAAAGAAATGTTGGTAGCGGAATACCAGTAAATTCACCTTTCTTAGGTTGTCAATCTTAACAACGCTAACCACACCTTGGTTTGAGAATTACAAGTGAGAGAATAGTGACCAAAATAAATTACTAAAGTTACAATTCAAAATCGTTAGTTATTTACATTGTGGACATTTACGAAGCCAAATGGTTTTTTTCATTATGCGTCGAGTCGACTGTATACTGTATGTAATTCAGCACATAATCTAGCACCACAGTCCTCTCCTTCACAAAGCGTTTTTAGACGCTAAACTAAAAACTTCGTAGAATTCAGAAACGTGTTTACTTTTCACAACTTACGAATTTTTTTCCCACCGAAATTGGTTTTCGGTCCACCCACCACGCCGTGACTGTTTTTTCAGCACCATGACATAAGTACTCTGTAAAAGTGAATTTTTCATGTACGAAAAAATCCAATCAGCCTCGCACCTTGTTATCGACTTTGATTGGTTCTGCTTGATCACTATTCGATTCGGGTTCGCCCAATAATAACGATTACAAGAAACGAAAAAAAAACTCTTCGATTACTGAGAAAACATGGCGTCGAATTCGAAATCGACGATTTAAAAAGCATTAAGTTCATTAAATGAACAGAACCGCGTTGTTTCAAGCAAGTCCGAGACTAATTGTTTGACGTGTTGGCGTTACAAATGATGTCAAGAGTAACGAGTTAACTTGAGATTCGGTTAGTCGTAAAAAACTTAAATAAATCGATCGTGAGAAGAACAATCCTGTCGTGACTACCAAAAATCCAGATCCGTCAACATGTTAAACGGAAGTGCCAAAAAAGCCGCTTTTCGGAGAAGAGTCGCCCGTTAGGATTAGGATATTAATTTTCCTCGTTCGCGATAACGCGTTTAATTATTGGTTTAGTTTTTTTCAGTGCTTGCGCAGCTATTAGGTAAAATTTCGGTAATGGAGGAGCGACAAGAACGTGACGAAACCTTCAGCGCTCGTAATCTTGCTTTTTGTGCTCTTTTTGTCATTTTTCATTATTTTATTGGCTCGGCTTTTCCTGTTCTCATGCTTTGAGCCAAAATGGACTTTTTCTTAGGCGGGTTATTGTACCACTCGAGGTTCTTCTTTTTGTTCTCGTTAATAAGTATCTTCGCTTTGATCTTTAATTTTGTAAGTCATGTTATAATGCTCGCTTTTTCTGGACATAAATTATCTTAGTTGTAGCGTTGTCATCTGTTTGGAAACGGCATCAAACTATAAATTAGTTTAATTTACTTTCATTGTAAAAAGCGCTAAGAGGAGTTATCGAATTGCTCTATTATTTATTAGGACGTTTCAAGAACATTACGGTTACGTTATGATTTATATTTGAAGAAAATTGATTTAATTAGAGGATGAATATTTAAAGCCGTGTTTGAGTTTCACATCTGATCGAAATGGTTTTTTGAAATATATGGACCGGTAATTTCTGTTTGTTTGCTTGTTAGTGCAATCCTACGTATGTACGTCACTACCAGTATTTTTCGATAAAATACTAAAAGCCTTATTATTCTGATTTAGTTTCAACAAGATGGTGCTCCATAATTTACGGTGTTGACATTTTTCATTATTTAGACAACACAGGCAAACGCCAACCCATAGAGTGACAGTCCATATTTGCCAACTTCACTAACACCATTGCGAGTTTTTTTTTTGTGAAGTTACCTCCAGTGGCATTTTTTATGAAAAATGGTTGACCTCATAAAGTGAAATGTTGTCAGATTTCTTCCTAAATGTTGCATGGAACTTATCCGTGTTTTGCGGTGACACCGTGCTCAGCAGCGCAAAAAGTTATGTCGAAATTTGGATTTTTCTGAAAGTGTTTGGAGCTTTTGCATGACGACGCCATCTGCTGGCGGCGCGCCAAGTCTTCCGGTCGTACAATCGAGTAATTGCCATAAAAGAGACATAAATCAGTGTCATTTAACGTTGGTCGTTGGCAAAAACCGAATAAATCACGCCGATGCTCGCTAGGCAAAACTGAGCCCTAGTACCCAACAAATTTTAATTTAAACAACAGCGACTTATTATTTATGCAGTAACGGCGCAATAAATCATGATAATTCGCCCGTAAGATTCATTAACCAGTTAGAAGCAGGGAATATTTTTATAATAAAGACATAAAGTTAAACAAAATGATTTGTTAGTGGAATAGTAGTGAAAGACGCGTCCATAAAACGTTTTAACAAACCATAAACATAAATAATGTTAATTTAAGATCACTGGGAGGGTAATTAACCGAAATACGTCGTATGTGGCGCACTGTCTGGATTTTCGCGTGACGACGCCGATTCGATGGGCCGCGTTTATTAGCACGTAATTAAAAAGTTGGCAAGTCTGCAGCCGAAAAATAATTACAGGTATGTGCAACACGCTTTTTTGCGATTGTACGCTCGGATGGTACTCCGCAGACGCCCAGGTTGTTATTATAACCGCAATTATGGGTTAGCCGGTTGCGATTCATTTGAACGACTTGACCAATTTGCCCTGGACCACCCAGGTAGTGGGTTACTGACAACATGCACCTTAAATTATATCATTACAGGAGGGCGGGCGGATGCACTCTTTAGATTTCGCCCAAACTGGGCCACAAACTCGGAATTCACCCACGCGTGGGGATACAAATTCCACCACAGAATCTTTATTTTTCAGAAATTTTGAAAAAATAGCCTGTGAAAAATTTTTTACCTAAAAAAGTCAAACCTTTTCTTATTTAAAATAATTTGTCTTCAGGTAGAAGAGAACTAAAACACTAAAATTCTCAATCCAAAAGCTACTAACTCCTGTTGTCGATAAGCTTTTAAACAGTCCACGTATTTCATACAATTTTTCTTTCATTTGTTTCAACATTTAATCCTGGATTCAACATTTTATTCAATTTGAAAATACAATCAACGTGAGCCTAATGTTTGTGTATAATTTTGTCCACGCCCTTAAAAAATTATTCCGGATTCCATCACATGTGGATATCACAACAACTCATGCAACCAATCATTTTCATGCCTGTTATGGAAAGTAACAGCTGACTTAAATTTAATCTGTTTCTTGTCGTAGTTAAGTCAAACAATCAAACAAATGCCAATGTTGCCAACCGTGTAGCCGTGTTATGTTGGATGGATGTCTCAGAATTTGTTTCAAAGAATGCCAAAGATTAACGGTACTACAAAATGATTTGTAGTTAGTTTTTATCTGGTGTACCTGAACAACTAGATAGTTTTTCTTATTGATAAAAAATCATTTTTTCGATTTTATTTTGAACTATAACTTCTTTAGATCTGCACGTGTGACGAACATGTAACACTTTGGTTTTATCGACCACTACATGTTAGCTAATAGGCAGCCAGTATCACACTTAATCAACCTCCACATTTCCACAAAATTTATTTGAATAACTGGATTCACAAATGCAAGGAGCGGTCCCTCGAGAAGACCATTTCGCAGTTTTTTTTTCTCTCTCGAAGCATTTTCATCGTTTTATCGGAACTCCGGCGAGAAACGGTGGCAATAATTCGCACGTGCTGTTCTAATAACACCAATATTGAGGAAGACTAAGAAGATATGACAACACTTACCACGACTATCCTATCAGCGCCGGCTGCACTTAATGGCCAACGGGAAATCCAATATGGAGGAAAAACCGCAAAAAAGCCCGGCGCAAGTGAAACAATAATCACCTATTATTGCGACAATCGCGCGAACTGGTTTTATGGCAAAAACGTGAAAAACGGGGCCCCGGGTGGTGGCTGCCCATGCTTTAAACCGACGAGTTCTGCTATTGATGAAATAAATTTTGTATTTTAGAAGATTGTGGATTAAAGTAACAATTTATGATGGATTAGCATGCTAAAACTTTCCTAAAACCGCTACTCTTCTGACGAGCCGCCCCTGCAGCGACTTCGAGCTGGAAAACGCATGGACGCTCTTATTTTATGGCGCTTGTCCGGTTTAGATGGGCCGTAATATGAAAATGCTTACCGAGCCGGTAGACAGTTCGGTATCATGTGTCCAACAGATTAATGTAGGCGATTTGCAAGCAATAACAATGTGTTACAAAGTTTTTTCGTGAGTAGGTGTGCTGGAAGGCTATGCAAAGTAAGCCATTTGCATAAAATTTATTCTTGTAAGGAATAAAGTTCATTTTGGTATCTGACAGGTTGTAGACGCTTTATAATGTGATTATGAAACGACTGTTTTGTTTACAATGTCAAAGGAAAAAAAGTGTACAGCGTGCCGTGAGAAAAAGTGGACAGCCCACGCCGTACCCGATTAAATATGTAAATTGTTTTTGAATAGTAAATTGTGAATATTTTCGTTGAGTGAACAAATTAGGTGTAAGTATGTGATCAATCACGGGGAAATGTCAATGTCAGGCCGCTGACAGATTTCATTTTCTAACCACTAATCAGAGAGGTGTTAATTAAACGATCAAAATTTCTGCGGCGGTTGACCTTAATTTTTATTAGGAATAATAATTGATCGCGGCAAAAAATTAAATTGATTAGGTCGCTTTATTAGTCATTGACATTTCACGCTCTGATATCGTTCCTTAATGTCGATTTCATTTGTATCGAAATATTTATACAACCTTTTCATTTATTTACTATAACTATTGTTGGAGAATTACTACCAAAGTTCCGCTGATAATATTTACAATCAATTTTATTCGCAACTAGCCCTGACCTCTAGCGCTCAGAAGACAAAGCTACAGTAACTTGTAACAAGTGTGGCCACGTAGCGACCACACTCGAAACTTTTACGTATTTTCAGAATTCTACACAGCTACCCTACCAAAACACCCTATACTCAAAAATCCTTTTTATTCTTCATAAAACTCATTTAACAATTTTGCCATTTACGTAGACTTTAATCACGTTTCTGTCGTCTCCCAAAAATACCAGCTTTTGCAGTAATTCCTGCGGAGTGCAGTCTGACAAATAGTCCACACTGGAATTTTCCACGTCCAAGTCGACAATTACAGCATCAAAACTTTTCCCGATTTGGAAATTCCCAATCTTGTCGTCCAAAGAAAGAGCTGAAAATTTTCGCGTCATTCTAGAAACCGAAATTTGTGAAAATTACCTTTAGCTCCACCTAGTGTAGCTAAATAGAATACGTCTTCATAATTCAATGGTTTATAATTTTCTTTTGTGAAAGACAAATGGGTGGAAGCACTGATTGCTGACTTCATTGCATTTATGATGGAGGGGGAAGCACCCCCAGCTACATCTAGAAAAGATTTAATTTTTTAAACTCAAGGGAAAAAAGTTCCCGTTACTTTTATGTTTTTGAAATGATGTCATCAAATTCTTGGAGGAGATAAACGCATACATTTTATTGCATGTTTTATATTATTGTTAACTAAATAAATGAAAAAAAAGTACCTGTTCCTAATCCCACAGTGACTCCATTTTGCCTTAAATTTACGACGTCGCAAATCCCTGACCCTAAATTAACATTTGACTCCGGACAATGCGCAATCGAAGTTTGCCTTTCGCTAAGAAGCTTGATTTCTTCTTCACTCAAATAAATACCGTGAGCTAAAACCGTCTACAAAAATCTTCACATTACCAAATTTTCAAAGATCTTAAAATTAACCTTTGAAGTCAACAGCCCTGCTTTATCATAAACATTCGCATACACGTCGTGGTACAACTGAACCACCATTTCAACTTCATCTTTATTTTCAGATATGTGTGTCTAAAAAAAAAGTTCCTTCATTTTCTCCCTTTCGCATTTGCTTACTTGTATGTGAAGATCGCGCTCCTTCGCAATGACTCCCAACTTTTTCATATGCTCCAAATCAACACTCAAAGCAAACCTCGGCGTTATAATTGGCTGCACCAAAGCATTTCCCAAATCTGCAACACCTTTAATAAACTTCAGAGTGTTCTCAATAGATTCCTCTGGCGTCTCCACGTAATCATCAGGGGCAAGCTTAGTCATGTTTACTTTCCCAACGAAAGCTCTTTGTCCAAGTTCGGCCACCGCTGTCGCCAACAACAAACTGCTTTCGTAGAAAAGCGACCCAAAGTAACATGCCGTGGTGGTACCATGATTTAGGGTCTTCCTCTACCAGGAGAAAATTACTTTACGTGAAAACCAAGAACGCCCATCTTACCACGACGGCCTGAAAAACTGTCCCACAAAAGTTTTGGTCGCGATATTTCTTTTCCAAGTTGTAGGTGTAGTTATCTAACCATTCCAGAAGGGGTTTGTCGTAACCCAAACCCGCATTGGAGTACTGAGGAGCATGGATGTGGGTGTCTATAAAGCCAGGGAGAAGTAGTTGGGTTTTAGTTAATGATAGTGTGTCTTCGGCAACCAGATTAAGTTGTTTTTTTGTGGTTTCTAAGTCGGAAGCATTTCCTATAGCTGCGATCTGAAAATGGTTAAGAAAACCGGAGTGTATTACTGGTTGCATATATCTACATGTTCAAAATTTATGAATTTTTAATCAAATATTAATCAAAAAACAGATAATAACAATTGTTAACCCACCTTTCCGCATTCATCGATGATAACAAACCCACTATCAATAACAGCAACGCTGTAAGGAGCTACACAGTGAATTATTTGTCCCACTATTATCTTAACGCCCATAGTTTTCAATTCGCTTACAAGCTTAAATATTACAAATTTAGGAGTATTTTACGTCTCACAGTGCTTAAAATTTACTAAAGCCTGAGTTAACTGTTGGTCTCTGTATCTTATCTAAAAATGTTTATATTAGGCCACCTATCTTTCTATAGCAACAGTTTTTTGAACCCACCGTGATAACGAGCTTAACAAGTTTAGTGAGAATGATATAAATTGGAGTTTTTTATGTTTCTGTGAGTGCTGCTTTGAATTATAACCTCACTCTCTCATTTATTAAGTACACTCATTCCAGTCACAATAGAAAACTGTAATAAAATTTTATGAGGGATAAAACTAAACGACACTGATTCATTTTGCGCAGTTATAAAAATGCAAAGTACAACTTAGCACCTACCGTATTAGAACAATCTTTGCAATAATGATAATATTATGTCATACTTAATCAAAATGGATGTGTGTCTGGATGTGCGTCATAGAATAGGGTTTTCTATGATGTGTGTCTAGGCTTAAACTATTAACTAATAATAGCCAGCCGTAAATTTAAAACACAAAATAGTTCCTACATATTTCTGGTCGAAGTTTTAAGAATATTTTTGCATTACTATTTTGGTTGCTTCTATTGAAGGATTGATAATAAATTAAAAATCAACTGCGGGGCCGAAATGATCATCTAATTGGAAAAGTTATTTAGATCCATTACGATGTATTACTGGTTGCATATGTTTATATCATTTATTAACATTTTGAATTTTATCTGTCGGCAACGATAGTGTATAATACAAAACATTATTTAATAGTTGTTACCATCGCTAGATTCCTCAATGGGTGGAGTAGCTTGAAAGTAAGTCTGGTCAAGACATGACCTAGACATGCATATTTACGATCACTGAAGGAGGCAAATTATTTCACATTTCAAGTGGCTCTTTTTTCCAAAATAAAAAAATGTATATATATGTATATATATTATCATCAAATTAGCAAAAAGTTTTTTAAGACTTCGGTAAAAGCAACATTTTTCTTTCCGGTAACGTTGAATTTTAGTTGAGTAATTTCGACGGAGGGCAAAACGCTTAGGTAAAAATACTTGATGGTCTTAAAAATTCTGCCACGGAAAACGGCACACATAAAATTTGTTTATTCACTCTCTCTGAAAATGTATGACGTGGATATCAAAACAAACGTATAGTTCCTTCAGATAAGTGCAATTCTTTTTTAAATTTGTTTTCTCGAAGTGGGTAGGTGCTATTACCTTTGTTTATGTTTATTGCTCATAGCGTCATAAATGATTATTTTTGAAAATAAAACAAGTAGTTTACAATGCTGATGTAATTAATTTTTTGGCAATTAAAAAGTTCCAATTCATTAAAATTTCAATTGGTTATGGCAATGTTAATTTTTCGACAAAATTTTTATTAATCTCTACACGAATAGCTAAGTCGTAAACTGTGCTCTGAATCGTTTCGGCAAGTTTGGACATTACCTCCCTGGTGTCCGAATAACACATTTTTAGTCTTGGTCTCCTTTTAAACCCATATCCACTGTACAATCACCGGTAGCGATAAAGCACGCCAAATTAATAAAACCTACGTTTCGATGTTCCCATTGTTTTATGGGGTTCTGCTTTTTATTACACTTTTAATAGAATCCGATGCCACGCTTTATTTTACAATCACCGGTACGTGTGTATGGCGACTAACTGGTATTGTTACACTGATTCGTGTGAAACATTGCTAAATGGATTAAATAAAAATAATCTTGCACGCGTTAACAAAAAACGCACCTGACTAATCGTCTGAAAAATTCAATCTGGTGGCACAGAACCGACTTGTTCCTAGCCATCAAGTTAACGAATCGCTTCATACGATTCGTTCAGCCACCGTTTCCGTATTTAGTAGATACCTTACAAATTTATTTACAAAATGGTGGGATGACTTCAGGCGTTTCTGAAAAGGTCGAACAAATACATTAGTTTTTACTAATTGGAACGAAATTAAGTGTTCTGACGTTGGTATGCAGAGGAAGGGTGCTTACGTTGAAGCACTATAAGGTACACGCTTCACCACTACTGATGTGGACGTTATACGTCGAATATTGTTGTTCTTAGAATCATTGTAATATTTCCTAAAAGAGGCCCAATTACGATACCGCTTTTTGAATGTTTGAAGTTAGTACATATCTATATTGGATTAAATAGGTTTACCTGATTAGTTAGTACTGATTCATATTAAGAAAGTATTACTTGTGTGACGAATTTCGGTACCTAAACAGTTCCAATACGGAATAAAAAACCAAACAACTTTAAAATTTTTAAAGCTTCCCCTATTGGATAATGTTCTCTACATTTTAGGTAATCTAAAACCCATAAACATTAGTCATATTCATATTTCCTAAAGTAATTGCATGCAATTAAACCACTTTCTGCTATACTACTTCAAAGTTTCGTATCAACATTATGTATGTACATGAACAATGTTAAACCGTGTCAATTGCATCGTTTTACGCACCTACACCGTTAATGATATTGGACATTATATTTCGCCATATTCCAGTTTATTTCAATTACGAGGAAAGTCGTAAAACCCATCGAGTATATAAATTACGTGTGCCTAAAGATATTACAATGTATTTAACCTGTTATCTCTTCTGTTACAGTTTGAACATTTTTGTGCAATCGCGGGACTTTGTCAACTTAACAAAGTGCTGTTATTCTTATAGTTGCTAATATCAGAGAAACATTGTCAACCATTATCTACTACTACTATGGTATAAAATTTATGAACCTTAGCAGTTTAGAGTTATGAGTATGACATTCAACGAATACCAAAAAGTGCGTCCACGAGTTTACCAAACTACAATAATGTGGCAATTTCAGCATGAAATTGTATTAATTCTGATGTTATGGTGCAATAAAACTCGCGCAATAAGTGTTCGCCGATTATTTCCTGGTTAGTGTTGTTTCGTATATCAATATTCAAAGTAACTTTCAACCATGGATACCAATACCTTGTGGATTCTGATACTTTGTGCGGCTATGGTAAGATCGTGATCTGTATATAGTACTAGTACATAGTTTTATATTTACAGGTCAACGGACAGTTTGGTGAGTATCTATCGTTTTTAATTGTGACATTTGCGTACCTCCTCCAACGCAAATAAGCAATACATGATTCATTGCGTGTCCGATAGTTCAATTGGATCTATAATTTACAAATGTTGGCTGTTTGTTTTCTCCTCGGTTCACTTACTTTGGAACAAATGACTAAACTATACTAAATGAGACTAATTTATTCATTAAAATTTTCGATTTACAGATGAGATTTGTGAGGGTGTATTTAAAGTTATCTCGACACAATTTTCCTCGCTTTAAAATTTCAAAATTTGATTCTGAAAATTTTATGTTTCGATGTTGACCCCCATATGTTAAAATACTGTGGTTTTGGACAAGACAAAATCACCAACATACATATAAGGGAAATCGACTATAGGTAAGCAGAGAAAAATGTTGTGCCTCGGTGGGATTCGAACCCACGTCTCCAAGCATTCCGGGCTGGTATGCTAACCGCTACACTACAAGACAACTTATCTTTGCTCTGCTTACCCATGTGTTATTGTGCCGCTACGGTACTCCCCCCCCAGCGACACAGCGCGCGGTCGTGCTGGGGTGCGAAGGAGATAAATGCTGGCGTCGCCCCTACCACTCGTACGGTCGTTGTTCGAACCCTGGCGGTGCTGCGGACCCCGAACACAGCGGGCACAGGGCGGTGGCAGAAGGATGTTGCGTGCGCGTTGCCTGTCGGAGGTCACCAATATAGGTAAGCAGAGAAAAATGTTGTGCCTCGGTGGGATTCGAACCCACGTCTCCAAGCATTCCGGGCTGGTATGCTAACCGCTACACTACAAGACAACTTATCTTTGCTCTGCTTACCCATGTGTTATTGTGCCGCTACACGACATTTCATTTTCTTTCGATAATTTTCTTTTAATATGCAAAAACCTAAATGTTCTAAAGACGGTTAGCAAAGCACAAAAAACTTAATATTGAATTTCACTTTACTGGAATGTGACATGAATTGTGGTATTATAATGGTAATTTTTATAGTCGTAATTTTTTTTTTGCAGTATCGTGGGTGTGAATAGCTTCTTTATCTTCATGTAGAGGTCTAAAACAAAAACGTAATTCTAGTCATAAATCATGTTTGATTATTTAAATTGGTAATCAATTGGTGATGCCACATAAACCATTATATATGTTTAATGAAGCCCTTAACGAGCATTAAGACATAATGATTGATAAGAATTTGGTATCACACGATGGCATTTAAATCACCGTTTAATTCGGCTTTATGCACAATACGAGATCTTCGGTGACTCTGAGATTAATACTTTCTGCAGGGGATAAATGCATAATACATTAGATATAGAAACAATGCAGTCACTAAAATTAAAAAAAAAAAAAACAACTACAAAAATTATAATAGTCTTTATAGCTGTTCGAAATTGCAATGTCCTCTTTTTTTAGATCAATTTCCATTTAATTTTAACCCAACGTTTCCCGATGTTTCTTCCATAATTCGAGGAATCGAAGATGAGTTAAAACCACTCCAGATGTCTGACAACAAAAACAGATTAATGCAGGGAATAGGAGGAGTCACAATTCTAGAAGCTCCAGGTAATTTTTTCTGAAACTATGACAAAGAGTCTTCGTCCGAGTTATTTAATTAATAAGTAGTAGTCCACTAGAAATGAATAGAATAACCACAATTATTTTTTGTTCAGGCAAATCGATCATAATCCACGATGGCACCTCGTTCGAGTGCAGGGGCACAGTGATTTCAAAGCAGCCCTTCTGCCTGGGTTTTTTGGTGAAATTCCAAACCAATACTCCTCAAGATTACTGTTTTTCTGAAAACTACGACCAGTCCGACGACGTTCTATGTATTGCCCACAGCTCTCACAAGGCCCTGTTTTTCAACAGCAACAACGGACGCCTCTCCTGCTCTGGATCGAACGATCGGCCCGCCCTTATGATTTCAACGCAAGAATATTTTGCCTTATGTAACAGACTGCCGTGGCAAAAAACAATGTCCTATTTTCCTGACCGGCAAAGTCCCTTTCACGTGCCGCTGCCAAACCCGAATTTAGGTTGCTTCGAGAACAGTTACGACGTGTGCACCTTTATACCGAGTCGGCAGCTAATTTAAAAATGTGTGTGTAATAACTATTTAGAATAAAGAAATAGGTGATGCAGTTTTTTAATTTTCCCGCACTGAGTGCGATTTGTATGGTATAACATAATTATATAAATGTGATTCTCACAATAGGCATGCATACTGGTGGGGTATTAATTGTATATATATATATATACATATATATTAACACCAGTAAAATTGTATACTAAAATTTATTGAAAAACACCTTATTATAAGCTGTAAGTGTGCTCATAGTAGACACCACAGGCAATGTAGCTGTATGTGGACGTTCTAAATACGGTTACGTTGATCGGTGATTAAAAATCGGCGTGGGTAGAACTCAACAATTCATTTCCTTCATTTGTTCTTTAATTCCTGTTATTTCATTTTTCTTTGCTTCCACTTCCTTTTGGAATTTTTCGGTTAGGCTGAGCTGCTTAACTATTTTTTCATCCATCTTTTCCATTCTTGCGTCCATTTTTTCGTTCATCTCTTCTATTGTTGTATTCATTTTTTCATCTCTTGCATTCAGTTTTTGGTTCATTTCTTCCATTCTTGCGCCCATTCTTTCCATTCTTGTGTCCATTTCTTGCGTCAATTTTCTCGTCCATTTTTTTCATTCTTGCGTCCATTTCTTCTTTCATTTCTTTATTTCTTGAGTCCATCTGTGCGACTATAGCGATCATCTGCTTTACTTCTTCCTCCATTTTTGCAGGTTGAGTTCTAGTCTCAACAGGCATCAATCTTCAAAATTCTTGTCGAAACTGCCCGTAGGTCTTCGTAAAACCGATTATCACAGTCGAACAATTTTAGAAAAATTTCTTGTTACAACCATTCTGAAAATGTATTCTGAAAGGTTATTTTGTGCTGAATAACTATAATAATAAGACATTATGCCTACGTTGTAAAAAATTTTTTTTTGGAGATAATTAAATATCTGTCGACAGAAATCTGTGGAACATTTTTTTAATGCTTCTTGCACGTTTTTCTATGTAAAATTAGAATTCACTTCATTTTTTCTAATTCTTCCCCGGACGACAATAAAAATTTGAATAATTTTTTTTTGACGACATGGGTATATTATCTCTTTTAAGAGATGTTCAGCACAAAATTACCTTTCCGACCATATTTGGAAAATATATGTAACAAAAACACTGTTCTACTGTGTTATTAATCCTTAATCTCATTCTTGACACCAGTGTTACGTTGGTCGATGATTAAAAATCGGCGTGGGTAGAACTTAACAATATATTTCTTAGTAACACAAATTTACAGGACTAATTGTGCAATGATTATGTACAGAATAACTAGACTCTACTTCTCCCATTATTTGGACTCCACTGCCTGCTCCAGAGCCACGCGGTCCTTCTCGAACAGTCGCCGTCACCGCTTCTAGGCTTATTCTGGAGTCATCCATCATCGCCGCACGTACTAGAAAACCCATAAACGTCGTACCGGAGCGGGTATGGGTTCATTTCGTTACATTACATATTTTACAGAGATAAATTGCAAAAAAAATTCAGTCAACTTACTCGCATAACTCAGACGAGTAAAAAACCACGTAAGTGCAATAAATGAGTTAAATAACTTTGTAATAAGCAACAAAAAATGTATAACCAGTACAAGACAAAACGAGGGAAAACAAAGTCGAAAAAATTAATGGGATGTTGCTCCTTTGGCATTAGACATAGAAAAAGTACAACGCAGTGCTGTCTTGCAATAAAATACACACCCACTTGCCACTCGTGCGTGCCAAACTTTATCTTTACGAGTAACTGTGATCATATCATTATTAGTTTCTATTTTTGCTTTTTTTTATAACTTTTACAGGACTATTCTAATGGTGTGATTAACGTGAGGGCGTACTCATTTAAGTAAACATTGAAAATCTAATTTGAAACGGTTATCAGGTACAATGTAACAATGTATTTGTTTTACAATGGTTAATTAAATTTTATTTCTTACAGAAAGATAGCTCAATAATATGATAATTCAAAAAGTGGGAGTACAGTAGGTATGTACTTCACAGACGGATAGAGAATACCTACCCATTCTGTTAATATAATAGTAAAATAGTTATAAAGCTTACGCATAAATTTCACAAAATTTATGGCAAACGTCTGTTTCATCAGTGATGCCAAAGTTAGCAAGAGAAAGTTAAATTTGAACAAATTCAAAATTCTTTTCGTAAATGGTTCAAGTATACATCCTCGCCACTAACACTGTGAAGTCTCCGGGGTCACTTGTTTTGTTGTTTTGATAACGAAATATATTCAAGCGACATTTCCTGATACTAGCTAAACCACGTGTGCTGCCACTTCTTTTTGTTTCCAGAGCGTAACCTAAGCAAGGATTGTCTGAAAAAATAATCGCACTGTGAGAGCAATACTCACGTAACTCAAAAACAGCATGTTTTGAGTATGATGATTTAAAATTCCCAAGTTTTTATATATTATTTGTGTCTTAAATACCAAAGGCATCGAAATACATCATAGTCGTATTGTCAATCTATTATTAATCGTGTTTTTATTCCTTTAGAGTAGAACCTTCTACTCGTTACAGAAAACAAGAAATTTTGACTTACGTGACTATTGCACTGGTGCACCATATCAAATATTTTGGCTTGAGTGTTGATAAATTTAAGACAAGATCAAACTAGCAACACATTGTAATGAAAAAAATATAACAAAACACAAAACGATATCAGTATTCATTCATTCAACATCTGCTATGGCTAAATTGTTATAAAATGTGTTATTTAATTCGTTTTTTTATAGATAATTGATTCAGTCCATCGTATTTTTTTACGTATTGCTAAAGGACCTTCATAAATATTGTTTAATCATTTTCATTTAAGTCTGATACCGCCGTTGTCGTGATGTTCGGGAATTGATTGACTATTATTTCCTGATATACTTCCTTTCTATACGAAGTTACAAAATTCCATTGGAATTTTTGACAAATTTTAAATTTTTTATTTCGCTGTAATTAACTTTCCTACCTTTAAAAAAAAATTATTTCCGTGTTTTCGGTCAATTCTTAACTATATCAGAAGACATTATACATTTGTTGTGTTCAATTTGTACCTAAATTAGTAGGAGTATCAGATTATCAACATCGACTGAAATCTCATAGCTTCATAGCTTATTTGCATTTCACTTATTTTTGAGATACGGCAGTCTTGCATTAAGTGCACACGTAATTTTCGGAAATGCAATACAAACATTTTGATGAATTTGAGCATTACGCAATTATTAAAAACCGTTTATACTTACATATACTAAAACTACATTAACTTTTTTATGCATTAATGATAAATTTAAGGATTCCGCAAATTTTGACTTACAGTGCGATATATCTCCCATTTCCGTCTGTCTATCGTTTGTCTGTGTCAATCTCTGAAATTGCCAGACTAAAAAATAAGGTATTGTAATAGGGTCCATCCCACGAATGGCTACTTTAGGTTTTTCGTTTGTGTTTGTCTATCGTCTCTGTTGATATTTTTTAGACAGATAATTTTCAAAAAATCAGAACTACTGGACTGATTGTTATTAAATTTATAGGTATTTTAGGAATATCATGTCGATGATAAAATGATAACCAAAATCTGTTTGATCATTTCTAACAACAATTTGATGACGTCACCTCAAAATTTTACGTGGTAAAAGCTAATGTATAAAATATCACACTCCTGTATTAGTGGTTTATAAATCCACCTTTTTTGTTCTAGGCATTCATTTTTTCGCAAAAAATGAAAATTGTGTTATACATTTTATTTAAATAACATGAGATGAACGCTTAGCAAACGTCCATTAGTTCAGGCTGTTAGACGTGATTTAATAACGCCAAGACACTGGTTTCGATACCCTCGTGGGTCACTTTTTTTCTAAAGTTATGCTATCTTTTCCGTAATCAAACGTATATTATTAAACAATCAGAAATTAACAATGACAGTTTTCTGTTGAAAGCAAAAAGTTAAAGCTTTTGCTTTTGTGTAAAAAAGGGACATTTTACGTAAAATTTTGACATATTACGGGCATCTGATTCGAGTTATCGTCGGGATGTTTTAATTCTTAAAAACTTGTAAATGTCATATGAGCGTTTCCTTAGAACAACCAATAAAAAAATTTATAATAAATTATGATTCCAGCAAAACAGACATTTATTTAAAAAAACAATAGCCAATAATAAATGATCATTGTTTTTCGGTCCATTAAGTAACAACATAGGGATAATGTAGGATGTCCTGATAAAATTAAATACATGCACACTGTATTAGCTACAAATTCACAGCCTCGGACAAATGAAGCCCATTTTCAAAAAATGTTGCTTAGGAAAGGTGCTCTTTTTGCGCCCTTTGATTTTGTTCTTTGCGTGAGTATTAGTAGAGTTTGTGGTGTTGTTGTTATAGATTAACTGTTTTAGTGTATAGTCGCCACTGTGTTATTCGCAGGTAAGCCTTTTAGATTCTTTTTAACAACTTTGGAGCATTATTTTAATATTTTTAAATTCCAAGGTTGTTGTTATTGTTTCTATTTAAGTTTAAAGCAGTGTTGATTTACTGCTGTAACAATATTTTTCGCAGAAATCACATTTTGTTTACAAATATGTCTTTATTTTTCTCAAAATTGATAGCACCTAGGCGTAACTTATTCTGTTTTATACCCACGCTAAACTATAAAAAATAAATAAAAGAACTGAAACAATACACAATTTCAGTTCAGTAATATGTGAAATCTAATTTACTACTGTAATAATGGCGACGACGGAAATTCTGCAACTTTCAATCAAGTTTTTAAACTATAAAATTTAATTTTATTGATTTGACTTTTGTTATAAATTATGTTGTTGTAACATTCAGCTTCAAACTAATTAATTGTGTTTAACTCTTTTCTTTCCATTTGTACAATCATGTTTTTCTTTAGTGACAACCTTGTGTTAACAGTTTTAGCATCTCAGATGTTTGAAAGATCTTACTTCTTCTAAGAATTATTCTGGTTTTTCCACTTTTTTCGTTCCAAAATCGTTATCTTCATCTCACACAACTTGCTTCTTTTGCAAATACTTTTTTCACCAAATTAATGAACGCATTTTTAGATGACCTATATGCGAGAGATCATTTTTCACCGGACTTCGGTTATTTACTAAGACGAAGTTTCGGGGGACATATGGACTCTTTTGGTAAATGTTCATACTTTTCATCCAAGTAAGTCAGTGTAACGATAACGTACTTCTAGGTCATCCACACACAGACACCATAGGAATCTCACCGCCATTCATAAAAAGTATGTTTTAATGTAAAATATCAAAAGTTGATGAGTATAAAATAGCAATTTCAGCAAACAACACACCAACGTTGCGCCACTATGATTCAGCAGCAAATTTGCCACAGCGTTACATTGTCAGTACGTATATTTATTCAAAAATTATCTTTACTGGAAATTTCTTGAAATCGCGGCACCATCCAAGAGAACCCTAAACCTCCAACTTTTAAAATTGTCGCATTAACATATTAGCGACACTAACATTAAAAATTGGATCAAACTGGGTATTACGATGTCGGTTTTACAATACACTGTTACTTAACTAATGTTTTTTTTTAAAACAAATGAGTTTTACCACGAAAATTAAACGATTAAGCACAAGATGTGGATGTTGTAATTTTTAATATTATTCGAACAGTTAATTCACTATTAATTATTTTTACAGGAATTAATCCATCGCAATATTCCAACAGACCCATGATGCGAAGTCTGTTTAGTCCATCCAAAACCGAAGCGTCCAAAATGAACAACGGACTTTCCGAACCGAGTATAAATTTCGACGTTATTAAATTAACAAACTAATGTTAAACATAGGAACATTGACCATATATGACAGATTTTTATCTCGACATTACAATAACTATCACTCATCGATCTTCAAAACAAAAATCTTTTTCACGTGGATAAAATTTTGTTCGTTACACTATTGTCATAGTTTCATCACCGTGCAGTTTCACGAATATTTTTCTTGCATGTGTGAAAGGCTCACCTGAAACAAAAGTATAGCAAAGTTTGTTTTCTTGTAGCAAGTTCAACAAAAGTTGCAATGGGGCATACTGTTAAAACGATTAATAATAAAACAATAAGTGTTTTTTTTTTTAATATAATTTTAACGACAAATATTTTCAATAAATTTTACCGGCGTTAGAAACATTATTTAAATATTCATCCAGAAACCACTTTAATTTTCATTCGGCAGCTTTCTGTTAAATCGAAATCTCAACGTGACCACCAATGAATGATTAGTAGCAAGAATTTTAATAAATATAATATACTCATATATGATCAACTTTACAGGAAGTGCGCATAAAGTTTACGGAACAAGAAAAGAAAAGCGACCATTGACCTACAAACCACTGAACCCGCAAGGTACAACTTTGGTTTAAATAGATCAACTGACCAATAATAATTTCACAAACACACCCAAAAGGATTTTAAGTTTTTACGTAATAATTTGTTTGCAGGATTTTTGAAGAGGCAATTCAACAGACCGAAATATCTACAACGGAATGAGATAGTACCCCAAATAGGTAATTTAGTAGCAAATTAATGTTTTAACAAAATTTAAAAGTTAGGATTCTATCCTCAAATGTTTTTAAAACACCGCAACAAGGACAACTAATTAGTCGTTTTTGTTGTGTTGTTTGATATATTCTTTGATTAAGGACTACGTATACCAAATATGAATTCGTTTTACTTATCGGAAATGTTTGCCACATGATACAATAACAAAACTGTCGCCCAGCGGGCAGCGAGGAGCATCAAACAGAGAAATATCATACGAACCGGGTATAAGTCTTTTTTTTTAAGAATATAATGTTCAACAACAAAGGGATGTAAACGTAAAAGATACGCATTTTTGTAAAATACAACAAAAGTAAAAACAAATTCGGTCGATAAGTAATACTTTTAAGCGAAAATAGAATACAGATTTATTCACATAAAATTGTGCCAAACTTTTTCAACCATATCTTACTTTCGGTTTGAGAGTAAGATTTAGTTAATCAGAACAAGATTTATTTTAAACTCTATTAATATAAAATGGTATTTGCAGGCTATGCACCAACATGGCAGCTAGCGAACGCAGAATGGCCTTCGTTTCACCAGCAACCAGATTTTTTCCAGTCTCAAAGTCAACCACATGCAACAGGTATAACAGAACGAATATAACAATAATGTATTCAAATGTTATGGATGGGTATTAACCATATTTATTTAGCTCGATGACAACGATCTCAAGATTGATTCAAAACTCTTAAAATTATGTTTTAATTATGTTTCACTCTTATTAAACCAGATTAGACTAACCCGAACAAGGTTTATATGTTTTTAGTTAAGTATAAAATTGCCTTTGCAGAATATTCATGGCCAAAACGACCATCGCCTGTATTTGACCCAGCTGCAGACTTTTCACACTTGCAAATGTTACCACAAACAGAAGGTAATGTTAATGATATACCTACTTATATGTTATCTTGAACAAAACAGTTAAGTCAAGATAAAATTGTCTTTGTAGATTATTCACCGCCACAACGACGACCACCTTCAGATACGCATTTTGCACTTCCATCAGGTAACAATTTTTTTTTTTAACAATCTCTTGTTTAACGCTAATAACATAAAAATATATTTGTAGAAGATTCATCAATAGCAACAGAAAGGTGGCCTTCATTTGGTCAGGAACTAGGCTTTTACCCAGAGTTTTCAGAATTTTCAGAGCTACCAGAAGAGATAGGTAAAACGGAGTAATAATGTATTCAAAATATTAAAGGAGTCACTATCAAAGTAATTATTTAGTTTTCTCAGAACAGTGTCGCTTTGTTTTGAAAATTTTAAAGTAGTATTTTCCATTCAATTTTTTTAGCTAAATACCAAGTTTGTCACCGTTTAGAGATATGATGGAATGAATTAAACAATAACAAATTCAAATAATAAAGAAATAACTCTTAACGGTGTATATTTTAGTTTGGAAGTAAACAAGCTCAATGATGCTTTGAAACAAAAGTTTAAATTTTGCTAATATAAATCTACCTTTCTAGATTTACCAACTGAAGAATGGCTTACGCTCTCTGAAAAACCACGTTTGCCTGTACAACTACCACCATCAGAAGGTATAACATATCAGTTTTTCCAAACATAAATTTAAATGTTAAAAATACATTTAGATTAACGAAATGTCTTTAGTTTTTGTAGAACTGCCCGTGATGGATGCTTACGACCCAGATGTATCACCTGTATTTCTACCTAGTCCAAATTTAGGACCCTCTTCACATGTATCAAATCAACCCGGTAAACAAATTATTAATGAAAATCAAAAAGCTAAATTCTATTTCTACATTCTTGATCTAACCTTATAAATTTTTTGTTTAAAAGCGTTTCATCAGGTGACAGGCGTGCCACAAAGTATAGTTCTAATCAACGGAGTGTATATGTTCCCACAAGGTTTGCTTTATAAAAAAAAAGGATTACACAATACTGAATTTAATTCGTTCGTTGTAGCCGGCAAGAGACCGTTTAATAAATCACCTATAACTAATGGAGATTCCATTGAAGGTAAATACGGCGAGCTGAGTTTTTATTTGATCCTCCTCCTAGATTTTTATTTTATATACTAGTAAACTAGACTAAAAAAAAGGATTACACAATACTGAATTTTAATTCGTTCGTTGTAGCCGGCAAGAGATCTTTTAATAAATCACCTATAATTAATGGAGATTCCATTGAAGGTAAATATGGCAAGCTGAGTTCTTATTTGATCCTCCTCCTAGATTTTTATTTTATATACTAGTAAACTAGAGTAAAAAAAATGTACCTGTAAATATTTATATTTCAGAATCAAACGTTCTTGGCACGCCAGAGCATATTGAAGTGCAATCATTATTTCCACCGACACCTCCATCAGGTAAAATTGGCCGTTTAATTATATTATTAAACCGAGTAAAAAAGATATGCAAAGATTTATATTTCAGAATCCGAAGCACATACCGGAGCAGAGTTTATTACAATGACGCCATCACCATCAGGTAAAATGGGCCATATAGTATTAACCTAGGGTGAAAAAATCTGCATATCTAAATATTTATATTTCAGAAGCAGAAGTATACCCTACACCAAGGCTTACTGAAGTGACACCATCACCATCAGGTAAAATGGGTCGTACCGTATGCTCTTAAATTAGAGTAAAAAAATATGTAGGTAAATGTAACTGTTTATATTTCAGGGCTAGAAGAATCCGTCACACCTGGGTTTATTTCAGTGACGCCATCGTCAGCAGGTAAAATGACCCGTACTATATACTACTAAAGTAGAGTGAAAAAAATATATGTACATATATGTAACTATTTGTATTTCAGAGCCAGAAGAATCGGTCACCCATGAATTTATTTCAGTGACGCCATCGTCAGCAGGTAAAATGAGCCTCACCTTAGACTATTAAACTACAGTTAAAAAATATCTACATATATGTAATTACTTATATTTCAGGAGTAGAAGTACCCGACACACCACAGTTTATTGAAGTGAAGTCACCACCATCAGGTAAAATGAATTGTATTATATACTATTGAACAATAGATACATGTAAACATTTTTTACTTCAGAACTAGGAGTTTCCTTCGAACCAGAACTTACTAAAGTGACGCCACCACCAACAGGTAAAATAATTCACTAAAAAGGATTTGCTATCGTACAAAAATCAACGTTTATTAAAAAATATGTTTTAAGGGAACTGTCATTCTGTACTTTACTAACATGGTTTTAGTTAGATGATTGTCCGCAGAGGATGCCCAAAAATAATGAATGAAACATATGTTTTCAGTTTTTTCGGAAACATTCCATCTGATAGTTTAATTTCAAAACGACCCATTTAATTTGGCCAAAAGGATTCCTTTACATATTTTAAAATTAAAATATTTATTTGTATTAGAAATTAACAATAAGTGAATCTTTACCGAAGTAAACTAACATGCGTACAGAATTGGGTCTGCCTCAGGGGCGAGGGAAGTTACGTCTAAATAACTGTAGGCTGTTTTTTTTTTTATCTAAGTGAATATTTGTGTTTCAGAATCACAACCTCAGTGGTTTCAAACTATGACACAATATTTTTCGCCTACAGCAGGTACGATAAAGAATACCTATAAATAGTTTTAAATTATATAAAATTTAAGTACTTAAGACCACTTTTTTCATGGTCTGTAGAGAATGACTAATTTTCTACCTTCACGTAAGTAACTATTTATTAACGTGAAAATTATTTCAGCAACAGAACCACCTGAGTTGCCTGTAACTACCAAAATATTGCTTCCTCCAGGTATGTTTAACAGTACCTATATGTAATTTTTGTTTATATTTTTGTTTTAGCTACAGAAGCACCTCAGTTCTCACACATTACCGAAACATTTTTGCCTCCTCCATCAGGTACCGACACATACTTTTAAATTAAATATACGTAAATTTTAATTTAATTTGACAAGAACACGTTTTTAAGAATCTGTAGCAAATGACTGATCTTTCACCCTGTATCTTTTTATCTATGTGAATATTTATGTTTCAGCGCCAGAAGTGTTTCAGGGGCCTGAAATTATCGAACAATATTCGCCTCCTCCAGGTACGACTAGCCAAACCTACAAAAAGTTTTAAATTAAACATAACTTTTGATTTCTTAAGAGTATTTTTTAAAAGTTTGTCGGAAATGAATAATTTTCCACCCTGTACAAATGTCTTATCTATGCGACTATTTATGTTTCAGCGCCAGAAGTATTTCAGGGACCTGAAATTATCGAACAATATTCATCTCCTCCAGGTACGATTAGCCAAACCTACAAAAAGTTATAACTCTTGATTTCTTAAGAGTATTTTTTAATAGTTTGTCGGAAATTAATAATATTCGACCCATATAAATCTTTTATCTATGCGACTATTTATGTTTCAGCGTCAGAAGTGTTTCAGGGACCTGAAAGTATCGAACAATATTCACCTTCTCCAGGTACGATTAGCCAAACCTACAAAAAGTCAACTTTTGATTTCTTAAGAGTATTTTTTAAAAGTTTGTCGGAAATTAATAATTTTCCACCCTGTATGAATGTTTTATCTATGCGACTATTTATGTTTCAGCGCCAGAAGTGTTCCAGGGACCTGAAAGTATCGAACAGTATTCACCTTCTCCAGGTACGATTAGGCAAACCTACAAAAAGTTAACTTTTGATTTCTTAAGAGTATTTTTTAAGTTTGTCGGAAATTAATAATTTTCCACCCTGTATGTTTTTTTTCTATATGTGAATATTTATGTTACAGCACCAGAAGTGTTTCAGAGACCTGAAATTATCGAACAATATTCACCTTCTCCAGGTACGATTAGGCAAACCTACAAAAAGTTAACTTTTGATTTCTTAAGAGTATTTTTTAAGTTTGTCGGAAATTAATAATTTTCCACCCTGTATGTTTTTTTTTTCTATATGTGAATATTTATGTTACAGCACCAGAAGTGTTTCAGAGACCTGAAATTATCGAACAATATTCACCTTCTCCAGGTACGATTAGGCAAACCTACAAAAAGTTAACTTTTGATTTCTTAAGAGCATTTTTTAAGTTTGTCGGAAACTAATAATTTTCCACCCTGTATGTTTTTTTTCTATATGTGAATATTTATGTTTCAGCACCAGAAGTGTTTCAAAGACCTGAAATTATCGAACAATATTCGCCTCCTCCAGGTACGATTAGCCAACCTACAAAAAGTATTAAATTAAACATAACTTTTTATTTCTTAAGAGTATTTTTTAACAGTTTGTCGAACATTAATACTTTACCACCCTGTATAAATTTTTTATCTATGTGAATATTTAATGTGTTTCAGCAACAGAAGGACCTCAGTTGGCTCATATTACCGAAACATATTTGCCTTATCCAGGTAAGATCAACAGTTAACAGTACCTACAAATAAATTTAAATTATACTTAACTTTTAATTACTTAAGAATAGCTTTTAATAGTTTGTAAAAAATAACTAATCTTTTACCTGTATAATTATGTATTTTATCTATGTAAAGATTTATGTTTCAGAACCGAAAGTAACTCAGTTGCCTACGATTATTGAACATTCGCCTCCTCAAGGTACGCTCAATAATACTTATAAACCGTTTCAGACTGTACATAACTTTCCTTATGAAATATGACGAATATACTTTGTCCGTTGCGGTTGTATTTTATAGTAATTTACGCAACTAGTTCGGGATAGCCTGCTTCCCGCATGAACGCTTGTTTGAGGCACGACCGAAGGGAGTGCCGCATTTGCGTGAATGCGGGAAGCAGGCTCACGAACGTGTTGTGTACAATATTTTTTGCGACGAATAAACCTTTAAACTGAAGAGATTAACTGTGAGTTATTTATAAACAACGCCATTGACAGCGCCGTCAACAAGTCACAATGTTGACACTACCCGAGTATTTTAAGGTTACCATGGCAACGGGAAGTTAAATGCACGCGTGCGGGAAGTTCGACCTCCCGCACTCTGGTGAATGCGCGAAAGCTATCAAAAAAGGTCATGAGTGCAAAAAGTATTGTAACTAACTCGACTGTTAATTGGGGATTAATAATCTCGACCATTAACATATTAAAATATCTCGATTATTAATCGCCTTTATTAACAAACTTGTTCGTTAAATAGCTATTATTGTCATAAATTAATAATTATCTATTAATTGTGTGTGCGGTGGCTGAACACGGCACACACTAGCGAAATAAATTAATAAAATTTTATTCCCGGTGATCGTAATTTTAAAAAAATTACTGAAAATTCAAAATATGAGTTATGCAACCAAACATACAAGGAAAAATTTTTGTGAACAAACATTAGTTGGATATGTCCAAATCATGACGGATGCATAAAGTGGATCGAAGCATAGAATATTTTGGCCACAAGCGTGCTATTGAGCCTTTTTGGGAAATTTCGGAGAAGGATGCAAGTACCTTAATACGGATTCAGAATATTTTACAACCAGCTTTCCGGCGCACCAAGCAACAGACTGATCGTAGGTTTTTTGGTAAAGCATTTTGTTAGTGACCCCACATTTGCGTTTTCTACTTCCGGAAGAGTTAAAGAATCCATTTCTATGTAATTTCTCATTTTGAATCTTGATTTGGGAAAATTTTGACATTCAGAAATATGAAGTTTCACGTACGGATGTGTATACCTGGTTGCCTAAAATCATGCATTAATCGCCTCATTAATAAACGATCACCGGAAAATATACTAAATCAATCATCGTAACGGGCTCATTATCAGCCATAAAAACTTATAAAGTGCAAATGAAATGGACAGAGTATACATGAGTTTTGTCGCATTGTGTCAAAACGCTTTTTCGCTAATTTGCACCCTTTATAAATATTTTATCTATGTGAATACTTAATGTTTTAGCAACAGAAAGGCCCACCGGGTACGACTCTAGTGAAAAATATTTGACGTCTCCAGGTATGATCCACAATAGAAATTTTTAAATTATTCGTAAGCTTTAATTTTTCAATAATCTATGGGAAATGAGTAATGTTCTACACTGTATTAGATTTTTGTCTCTTTGAATATTTATGTTCCAGGATTAACAGTAACTGACATGCCTCAAATGTCCGTAAAATTTTCGATCCCTCCAGGTATGACTAATGGTGCAAATAACTTTAAATCATATGTTAACTTTTATATTTCATAACTAAAAGTACCCAGCACGGATCAAGTTTTGATAGGTACGACGGGCGACAAGATTCAGTATGGAATACCAGGTTATTAAATTTATTGTTAAGTTGACTTAAAGCGTACAGCTTCAGACAGAGTTTATGTTGCTCAAAAATAAATCTACGAGTGCATTTTCTACTTGAACTGTACGTAATGCAAATAAAAAATAAGCTAATGTAATAAAATTATATTTCAGAAACCAACCCTCCACTACGATCGAGTATCCCAGACTTCAAAACACCTCCAGGTATGAAGAATACATAATTTTAATTAATTAAAAAAAATATTAAAACGGTTGCACGAAACTCAATAAAAAATTAATTTTGAATTCCAAAGTGATGGATAAAATTTTGTGTTCTAATTGCATTGTTACTAGAACCTTATACTGACTGTATAAGTAAATGCCTCCGTCCGTTTATAACACAAATAACTGTTATTATTCTTATTGTATAATACGTCGTAATAAGGCCCCTTCAGAACACAATACATTTTTAATGCTTTTAGTCTGGTTTTCAAAGTAACTTTTGAAAAGTTAAAATTTTTAAAAAATTTGACCGGTTTTTCCAAACATACCCTTTTCAAAAAAGTCATCATTTCAAGGAAAATACACCGTTTTTTCAAACAAGAATACGGTTTGGTTCAAACAAATTTCCCTTTTAAAAACATTTAAAATTAGGAATTTTACCTTGATTTCAAAGATTTTACACTGTTTAGAATTTTGTACTAGTAGGCCCCTTGAGAACACAGCTACTTTTTAAGGAAAACACCCCGATTTTCAAGGGTTAACAGAAAAGCAGAAAAATCGTGAAAAGACTCCCGTTTTTAAGATATATTTTAAAATTAACATTTTTTAAAGAATTTGCCCAAGTTTTCGAACTTTTTATCTAAAAACTTGGTGGTTATCTCGAATTTATCTATGTTTTTATACGTACCTTGGAACAACACCCAGAATATGAGGTTAAACATAAGCAACTCATAGAACAGAAGCAACCATAGACAAGGAAGCAACTACTAGCACCTACCCCTACGCCAACTTTCGTTGTGAATTTGAACTTGGAACTAAGATTAAGAGCGGGTAAATTTAAAATCCGCGTTGAGCGTACTTCTGTATAACAAGTTCTTCTTCTATTTTTTCGTGTGCTGCGACAAATAACCAATTATGAACTATTTAACCCAGGAACAATAATAAAGGATTATTAATTAGCAACTAAAAGAATTAATATCCAAATGGTATTGTATCAAAATTTTCGAGAATAACTCTCTTGTCATAAACAAAACCAAATTCCTTTGTTTCTATTTTATTTAAAAGTTCTTTAGTTTTAGTATCTCTGGTAATTCGATTATATTGTGTACTAATTTTACTGTCTTTGTGTTCTAAAATATTATTCATGCTATCGGAATTAATCTTTTCGGACGTTTCATAGTTTAATGTAAATCCTTTAATTTTGCAAACAACTTTACCTGCATTAGTTTTATAACAATAACTATTTGGACCTGTTGATACCCAATCAGCAATCCATACGTCCTTACCTAATTCATCGGTCCAATCTCCCAATAGACAATCTGTTTTAACAGTGTTTTTACCATTATCTATATATACAATGCTATCTGTATCATAATATATTACACTTTCTCCTAATATGTCTAACATTTCGTACAATCTTAGTCTAGCATTTGCGGTTGTAAAAGCCGCTATGAATATATTGGTATTGAAATCATTTTCTACATAGCAACCTTTATACTTGTAATCAATTTGTAACATATTTTCGTTTAATTCATTGATATGTATATTATCAAGTCTGTCGTCTAATAAGATCTCATAAAATCTCTTAATATCTGTAACATACTCCCCATATTTTGTCTTTGACCAAATTTACCCCATAAGGAATTTAAACAGATTTTTGCAACAGCTCTCTTTCCAGGATTATTTTCTATTTTACCCAATTCAATACCTAGATTTTCTTTTACGGTTTTTCTATATTCTTCTTCTGATTCAAAATCATTTCTCCATTCACTTGTCTCTAACTTTATTTTCATAAATGCTTTTACATATCCTTTAAACAAATAACTCGATTTTTGTTCAAAATGCCAAACTTCATTAATAGTTATTATTTTGTATCCTTTTTCAATTGCTTTCTTTACTTCGTTTGTACACCAGGTTCCTCTGACAATTCTTTGAGATTCCGTATGAGTACATTTATCTTTTTGATTATTTAATTTTGCACACAATTGACATAATGGAAATGTTAGTTTTTCATCGCCAGATTTCCTTTTATTTTTAACAGGTAAAACAGGGTGATACAAACCTCTTGGTGGTAAAATTGCACATTTTATTAAACCATACCATTTTGAATTATACGTAGGAGGTTTGAATATTTTAGTAGGATGTCCAACTGGATAATCATCATAACATTGTACTGTTGGATATAAACTACAAATATCTATATATTTCATTTTCTTTCCATTAACTTTTAGTTTTGTAGCATTAGTTCTTCCTCCGAAGAACGCATTTCTAGGATTAAGTTCTACAATTTCTTTATATTTGCTTTTAATTTGTTTCATTTCTTCTTTATATTCTTTAGATTTAATCCAATTGCATTCCCACATTTCTATTAAATTATAGCCAGCTTTTTTTATTTGCTCGCTTCTTTCTATTGTTTGTTCATAAAGATCTTCCATAGTTGTTTTATTCTTATTATTAATAAAATTTGAACTATAACATTTTGTACAACCATGCCAAAAACAACCGTGATATTGATAGACTGTATTAGATTTTTCATCAAAGCCATCAACTTTTGATCCACATATTCTCACTTCATCATCGTTTAATGCATGTTTTATATTTGGATTATGAAAACTATTTAACCAAGAAATTGATTGTTGAGAATATTGATCGTTTTTTAGATTATCAACAACTGCAATTGTATCTTTCTTAATATATTTTGATCTATATATAGCCATACAAACACCTGCAATTGTAATGTATCTAAAAGGATCTATGTTAGCTATTTCTAGAAATTGTTTTCTTAATTCAAGACATCCTCTTTTTAATATATCCACATCAGAATTACAATAATCATAAAGTTCATTTTTAAAATCAAATAAATAATTTTCTTTTCTTTTTTGTTTATGCCATTCTAAAAAGTGATTGCGACAACTATCATCTCTGCATACCTTAGAGTTCGCCCTTAGCTCACGAAGCATTACTGAGTTACTGCTACCATAACATTGTTTACATTCTCTCATAGAATTAACACCATAGTATTTTGTATTTGGTATTTTTCCAATATAGTTCTGATTTTCTGTTGTATTGAAAAAATGTGGAAAATAACCTTTTTTAAGTTCGTTTAGGCCGAATGTTTTGGGGAAGTTTTTTAAAGGTCCTTGAACAAAATTACTACTATCAATAATTCTTAAATTAATTGATTTTATTTCCATTAACATTATTTTAGATCCATTATATATGCAGAAAGGTTTAATACCGTTTTCAACGCAATATTTTAGAATAAAGTAAGAATCATAACCTTTGCCATAATGTGCAATAGCTGTGTATCCTTTATGATCTCTAGAAACTAACCATTTACAGAAATCTGTGTTAGTCTTAAAAGAATCAACATTACCGTAAAAATCGTGAGATATAACTAAATTAGGTACGTGTTTACCCGTTTCTTGCATTGCCTCATAATCAAAGAATAAATATTTTTGTGTGTAAGAGCATTTAGTTGTATTAAATAAACATCCGCAATTAAGACATTGGTAACCGTTTTCGTTCTTCGTCTTCGACTCTGGGCTGGCCCTGCCAGTCTTTCTTGGTATTTTAACGCAATTTTTACATTCTTTACATTGATAAATGTGATATTTTACTCTTTTGTTTGTTTTATCAGGAAAAGTTACTGTACAACCTTTTCTATCACAATTGTTACAACCTTTTACTTTGTATTCTTTACTACCGTCTTTTATTTTAGTTTGACAGATTCCACCTTTTTGCCGCTTCCATTGCATATAACATTTATGTTTACGTATTTCAACCTCTTTATAACAATTTCTACATTTTTCCCAGCCACATTTGTGTTCTTTACTACCCTCTTCTATCATTTTGTTACCTTTTTTTATCATTTTATTACATTTTTGGATCATTTTCGGTTTTGTACAAATCGGCTTCGCCTTCATGAGTGGACAGAGTCGTCCCTTCGGACTGCTGCTCCGCAGTCCACGAATCAATCTATTTCCTTCTTTAATAATTTTTTTACCTTCGTCAACCATTTTATCACCTCTTTTGAGTATTTTATTACACTTTAAGCATTTATGAAATCTTTCACAAACTTCAGAATGATTTTCTAAACATTCTTGATTAAAACAGTATCTATTGCATTTTTCGCAATATATTCTTTTAGCAGAGTCTTCTTTGTGATTAGATTTGAAACACATTATGCATATTTTATCCTTTGTTTTGCATTTATGTTTATCTTTGTTTTGATATGGTTTATCACATTTTTTACGATAATAAGATTGACCATAGAAAGCTGTCATACTACCAATTGTATCAAAATGATTTCCATTTTTATATAAATATATTTTTATATCTTTTTCGGGCCCCGAATATATTATGGAATTAAAGCATTCCGCTGCTACGACTTTTATTTGAATATTTAATACTTTTTCTATACTTGCAATATCATGTAAGGTAAAATAATCTTCATTATATTCTCCAAGCTGATTATATAGCTCTTGAGCTAAAGTTGTTTGTAAATTTCTTCCCATTCTTATATATTTTAATTCATTATCATTATATTCCTTACCGAGTATAATGTTTGTATGATAAGTTAATCCAACAATAACGGCTCTTGGACAACATAATCTATCTTTATTTTTTATTTGTGTTATACTTTTCTTTGTTCTTGAGTCTTCTGCTATATTTAACAATCTTTTCGCATTAGTGGCACCTCTAGGCATATTAACTACTTCTACATTAAATGTACAAGTGTATATATCTAAATCTTGATTTGAAGTTAAGATACTTTGAATTTTGTTTAATAAATTATCAATTTCAGAAGTTCTTGATAATCCGGTGGCAATAGGTGTCCAAAGATGGGTGTGGTTAACTACTATATTTAATAAGTCTCCTTCTTTGAATTTTGTTTTCTCTTTTACTATTTCAATCATTTCATTTAAACCCTCTCTAATGACAGTAATTTTTTTCATAATTATGTCAGAAACATCGGACTCTAACGATTCTTCTTCATCTTTCAATAATATAATTTTATAGTAAACTTTATGTGTATTCCATTTTTTGCTGTATTCAGCTTTTGTTTCTATTATTTTAAATTTAGATTTTTTTGAAAACTCTGTAAAATAATCATCTTCGATTGCAAAAGGTTCCTCACCAATTTTTTGTAATAATTCTGCTTTCTTCATTTTTGAGTAACCTTTGATATTCTTTTCTTTGGCAAGTTTTCTTAGTTCTTTCAACGTTTTATTTTGAGTCGATTTCTCTAATATTTCCTTCAATATTTCTTCTAAACTTGGCAATTCAATTTCATTAAGAAGTGTGTTTAAATTATCATTGTTTACATTATCTGAAATTTGATTCAATAGATCTATTTTTTTACTATTTCTCTTTATGTTTAAGTTTAGTTTGCTAGCAATTGATTTTAATTTTTTAATACTAACCCTGCTTAATTTTCTATGCCAATCTCCAGCATCCGACTCTTCTTTTAGAATTAGCCGTATAAGAACTGATTTAGTCTTTGAGTTATATTTTGAATAGTTCTTTAAGCCCTGTTTTTTTGCAATAGATTTTAATTTTTTTAAGCTTAGCTTATTTAGTACAGATTCATTATTTGACGGTAGTGGTAAAAAATATTTATCCATCCAAGACGATTTATGAGTTGAAGATAAACTAGAAGACGATTCTGGTTCGACATCTTTATTAATTTGTTCAATTATTTCACCCGCTTTTTTTTTATGATAAAGAACCGAAATTAATTAAAGATTATTTATATTTTTTGCCAGATGATTTTAAAGAAATTTCACATATTTATCAAAGACCTTCAGGTGATGTTTTAATAGTTGTTGAAAATTTATATTATTTAATTGATTTTCCAAGTTTTAATGTTAAAAGTGGATATAATGCTCGATCTATTGAAAATTTAGGAATACCAAAAGGAAAAAGAATTGATGCAATATTTAGAACTTATTCTGGAAAAACATATATATTTTATGATAAAGTCTTGTACATTGAGTTTGATGAGTGTCTGTTTAGATCAAAGAAAAATGGCCTTATTTCAGAATTATTTGCTGGAATACCTCCAAATATAAGCGGAGCATTCAGATATAGAAATTTATATTTCTTTAAAGATAAAATGTATTATGAATTTGATGATATTTCGAATACATTAGTTAAATCTGATAAATTTGACTTGACAGTTTTCGGATTTAAATGTGGACTTATCGATCAAATAATAAAACTAATTAATCGTTTGTGATCATTTTCATATGATTTTTTTTTAAATAAATGACTGACTCTGACTCAAGTTATTCAAGTGAAGCCGATGTCGAAGGTATATTCGGTAATTTATGTGATTTTAATAAAGAAAAAGAATGGAGAAAACTTGACTTAATGAAATCGATGATTGGTTTTATGTTTCTGCTAATAAAGAATTATCTGAAGATTTGATTAGAGAATTTAGATCAAAAGTTGATTGGGAATGTGTATCATTCCGTCAAAAATTATCTGAAGAATTTATTAGAGAGTTTCACAATGTACTCGATTGGAGTGCAATATCACAATATCAAAAATTATCTGAAGATTTTATAAAAGATTTTGCCAATAAAGTTGATTGGAGTGCAATATCACAATATCAAAAATTATCTGAAGATTTTATCAGAGAAAACAAACACAAACTAAATTTATTCATTATATTATGCTATCAAAAATTATCACAACATTTTATACAAGAATTACAAAAAGATCTAGACCATATATTTTCAGGTTTTATTACTTTAGGTACACTTTATAATTTAAAGAGATATGAAAAAATATTTAATCAAAAAGTTAGTCACAATGATGAAATAGAAATTAAATTTAATTATCCAATGAAAGAAGGAGTTATTTTTAAATTTAAAAATTGTTTCAAAGATCCTATTAGATATCTCGATCTATTTTACTTTATCCGTAAAGGATATATGAGAATATATAAGGAAGAAGAGGAAAAAGCTACAGAAGTAAAACCTTTTCCTAGTCCTTATCTTAGACCTGAAACAAATGGTCCATATGGTATTTATGCACATGATTGGAAAACTTTATCAATTGAAGGAATTTATAAACATGGAGATGTTTTTACTCTTCTAATGGGATCTTAAATAATTACATCTTAATGTATCATTATTATCTTATTTTATTTATTTTTACATGCTGTAATAACATTCTGACGATTGGACGAAACAGTATTCATATGTGCGCTGAAATAGCCCCCAATAGAAAAACCGAGCAAATTCTTTAAAAAATGTTAATTTTAAAATATATCTTAAAAACGGGAGTCTTTTCACGGTTTTTCTGCTTTTCTGTTAACCCTTGAAAATCGGGGTGTTTTCCTTAAAAAGTAGCTGTGTTCTCAAGGGGCCTACTAGTACAAAATTCTAAACAGTGTAAAATCTTTGAAATCAAGGTAAAATTCCTAATTTTAAATGTTTTTAAAAGGGAAATTTGTTTGAACCAAACCGTATTCTTGTTTGAAAAAACGGTGTATTTTCCTTGAAATGATGACTTTTTTGAAAAGGGTATGTTTGGAAAAACCGGTCAAATTTTTTAAAAATTTTAACTTTTCAAAAGTTACTTTGAAAACCAGACTAAAAGCATTAAAAATGTATTGTGTTCTGAAGGGGCCTTATTACGACGATAATAAAGACGAAACGAGTCATTTACTCTTTTCATCGGTTTATTTTTATTTTTACTTTATTTTTAAATGTGAGAATTTGTAATACAGACAACTAAAAATGAAATGAATATACTTATTTCAGAAATGGACGTTTCGATACAGACTGGCACGGGTGTTCACGAAGAAATTACGGAACCTCCAGGTATAACTAATAATCTTAATATATAAAAGCATTTGTAACTGTAGTTAGTGACAGACTGACTAATTCATCAACGTAGAGCTTAAACTACTGAAACTAGAAACATGAATTTTGTTTTAAGCACCTATTAAGAAAGAATTTTTGGAAATTCCGCCCCTAAGAGGGTAAAATAGGGGATGCAATTTTGTGTGGGGGGTTTCGTGAGTTTTTAAGTCATACAACCAAAAAAAGTTCAGTTTTTACTAACCTTAACATAGATTTGATATATATGTCACTTATGCGCTAAAATACATAATTGTCCTAATTTAGAGACACTACAAATGACCACCGCCCACCACACCATTCCGTTTACAGTGACAAATGAACCTTTCGCAGGTATGTGAGAATTAATAATAAACTTTACGTTCAAAACTTTTGGAAAGAATTGGAAGAGTGTTGTGACATTAAATTTGCGATAAATGGCAAATTTTGGCTTTTATTTTTCAATGACACAACCTTCAGTTACAGTGACCAAAGTTCCACGTACGTCGTTCGCTTCTTTAAGTAAAATCAAGAGCATAAGTTAAATAAAACTACATAATTATGTTTCAGAAAAGAGCTATCAGACTATCACACCAGCCATACCACTTTTCCAAGGTATGAAAGAATTTATTGATTTTGATTTTTTAGAGATGACTATAACATACAAGATGCCACTGAAGTTAAATTATTGCACATTTTGCACTCCGTACGAATAAAAAAATCACATTTCGATAATGGGTCGCAAAATCGAACAATACTTTTGTTTGTTTTTATTATAGAACCTTCAGGAGCTTCAGATGTAACATTCGGTGTTGCATCAACACCAAAACAGTTGCTATATGTTCCGTCAACACTCACACCACAATTAAAAGCGCCTATCGAGGCAAATTTACCACCTGCTATATTTAATACTGCATCGAATGCTGGTCCACCTTCACTAGCATCGAATGTTGCTCCACCTAGACTAACATCGAATGTTGCTCCACCTTCACTAGCATCGAACGTTGCTCCAACTTCATTAGCATCGAATGTTGCTCCACCTACACTAACATCGAATGTTGCTCCACCTTCACTAGCATCGAACGTTGCTCCAACTTCACGAGCATCGAATGTTGCTCCACCTTCACTAGCATCGAACGTTGCTCCAACTTCACTAGCATCGAATGTTGCTCCACCTTCACTAGCATCGAATGTTGCTCCACCTTTCCTAGCATCTAATTTTGCGCCAATAGGTGTACCGATGCCATCTATAAATCTACAGAATTATGGATTTCCGCCAAATTTTCCAGGTACGCGAACACCGAATATATGTACAAAATTAATAAAGTTGTTGTAGCTTTTAATCAACATATGTATCGAGTTCCGCATTATCCTCAGCCCCTACATCAAGTTCAGCGTTATCCTGAGCCCCAACATCAAGTTCCGCGTTATCCTCAGCCGTCACATCAAGTGCATTATCCTCAGCCGTCACACCAAGTGCATTATCCTCAGCCGTCACATCAAGTGCATTATCCTCAGCCGTCGCATCAAGATTCCCACTATTCTCAACAGCAATTTAACATGGGTATCTTCTTGAATTCTGAAACAAGAACAAATTTACATTATTTTGCATTTTAGGCTACAACTATTATAATTCATATCAAATTCCGCACGGGTTTTCCTATTTTCCCCAGAGTGGACAATTTCTCCCATCAGGTTTCTTCTTATTTATTTACGTATATTTTTAACTCTTTAAGCTTGAAAAACGTAACTAAAAGAAAAAAACTTTCTAATTTCTGATATTTTATATTACTCGGCAGCCCCCAACTACAACGTTCCGCTGCAGCAGCCACAAGTTGCTCCTAATCGACCTCAGGGTAAAGCGTGATTTTTATGAAAAAGTACTCATTTGTACCGTAAGTTTCAGGTCAATACGCCTTTAATCACCCGATGTACCATTTTCCAACTTCGCGTCCGTCGTCACCCCCGCCGGCAAATCTTTTCCGACAATGTAATTTTTCTACTTCTATTTCCTACAAACTCTGTAAACTATCATTTATTTCATTTCAGTCTCCAGGAAACCAGGTACTAACCAGATTTCCGGTAAAATTTCAAAATAGTTACGAAAACAAAATTTGAGCAAAAATTTCAGGTTCAGGGCAGAAACTGGAAGTCCCGCTTAGCCCACACGGAGGACTACCTATTGGTAACGACCTAGTTTTAGTTTTATAAAAGTGTGTACGCTTTTTGTTCCAGGACGCACTTTCTTCGACTATCCTTTTGGGAAACAACGAACACCCCACAAAACCATCACGATGGCTCTCAACGATAGTGAGACAAATTTTATTTGTTGTACAATCAGTTTGAATTTTGGGTAGGCAGCATTTTAGGTTTCATTTTGTAAGGAGTACACTAATTTTTAAAATTTGCCTCCTTAACGATGCGCCTGACAAATTTTTGTAAATAATAGAATTATGTGCAACTTTACGGCCGAACATTACTAATAAAAAAGTTACCGCTGCCTACCCAAAAATTGACCCTGGATTGACTGGACTTTACGCAGTGGTTCTTATATTAAATATTTTTGCTTTTCAAATCCCACACGTTATGTTATGTTGTAGGTGTGTCAAACCTCGCCTTAGAGTTCAGAAAAACCAACGACATCAAACTCATCGTCCATCCCGACGGCCAATTTGTCCCCGAGGTCACATTCAAGGGAAAAATGACCAAAGGGATAGATGGCAACACCGTCGCAACGTTCCATCCTAGTGGTAAGTTCGCACGTGGAACTCTGGTCACACAAATCATAAATCAATTTCAGGAAAAGTTTTCATAGTTCAAAACGGCAACTTGTATAAGTGCTCGGGAACGATATCTGAAACCAACGGACAGTGTAGCGGAAGCCTGCACAAGTTCCAGAAAAAGACCTTTGTGGATAACTGCTACACTAACGATTATCCGAAGATCCGGGGACATGCATGTGTGACCTCGGATTCACAACCTATCTACATGACCTACTACAGCAACAAGATCTTGTGCGAAACCGACTCTTATCACGCCATGTCCATGAAGCTAGACCGTCTCACCGCATTGTGTAGTCGGAAAGCTTTATCGGCTAGTTACAAGTATTATCCCGATGGTCCGGTGGATGAGCCAGGGTTTCACTGCGACCAAAAATCGATGCAGGCTGTGTGTGTGTACCATGAGGATTTGCTAGAATCAAATGACGCCAATAATCCCCTTGACTACTAAAAGCAAATGTGCACGATTTTATGTAAAATAATGAATTTAATAAAAAATATATAAAGTAGAATAAAAGAGTTGCAATATGCTCAAGTGTTAAATTTCAATACCAGTGTCAAATAACGTCATTTCGCGTGAGAGAAAAATCAGAAGACTGTTTTGCCAAGAGAGTGACCTTTTGTTGACGACATATCATTTTTTAATTTATGTTTTCTTCCCTTAATTTTTTTACAATGCAACAAAGAGCTTCTAGTTTGCTCGAGTCACAATCCCTTCTTTTTGATTTCGCTAGAATCCCAAATCCATTTTCGACGTCACACTTGTAACACCTCCCGCTTGATCTGATTACCCTGACGGCGGCGAGCAGTCTACCTTAAAATTAGTTTTTTGTGTTTGAATTCGCTTTTTCGAAGTTTACATTTCGATATTCACAATTTGTCCATGAAGAAATTCTACTTCAAACAAAAATCTGCTGAAAGTTTGCACGTTCATAGGGAATTCCGTACCGCCACAACAATGAGTAATCCTTGAATAAGTGCAACAGAACAGACATTCGACCGTCGAACTTCTCTGCACAAACATTCACAACATGCCCACGAAATCACTTCTGTTATTTTTTTTTCTACATGTAAGTATTATCACTCAAAATATAAATTCACTCAAGTAATTCCATGTTTCAGATGTTTTCTACGAAAGGTAAGTCTATCGCATAAAGTGATCAACATACTGAGTGATTGCAGTACTGGGCGATGACCCCAACGACCATCACGCCAACTTTGAAAGACGCAACCTAAACCTGGACGATTTAGGCGCCCAAATATCACGAACAGTTCACGAAAATCTTAGATCTGTTCGCGAGATGGAGTTCCGGTTTAGAGTGAAATTAGGAAAACAGGGTACGACCATTGCCACATTTCCAGGTAGTACTTGTGGTATTTCGACTGAACTGTCAGTAAAGTATGTGTTTACAGATACACAGTACATTTTTCGTGAAGGCGTTATGTATAAATGCGACGGTACTATTGTACAAACGGACGGTTCTTGTTCTGGTACTTTACGTAAACCGGAATTCAGCAGAAAAGAAGATTTCTGTTACGCCACTGTTAGTGCAGTTGTTGATAACTGGTACTGCATTACGACCGGCGGTGGTGTCAACTTTGCTTATAGCAATGGGAAGGGTAAATGTGAAAGTACGGATGGCAGGCCTACGCTGCTGGTATCTGCGGAGGACTACAAGGCGCTGTGCGAAAGTAGAGCGTATCCTGTTACTTATAAATATTTTACCAAGGAATTGGACGATCATGGTTCTGATGTGCATTGTTCCGGCGAGCGGCCTTACGTGTGTACTTTAACGGAAGAAAAAAATTCCAGTCTTATGCGCTCGACAGGGTCGACTTTTGAGAAATATAGTTTTATTTTGTTGGCGACATTACTGCACATGTTGTTTTTAAGGATTGTTTTCGTTTAAAATAAAATTTTGAAAAAACAGAAACGGGAATCTGTGTAAATGTGTCTTTTTAGATTATCTGGTAAAATGACCGCTAATAGTGTGGTGACCAAATTTAAATTAAAATTTCGTGCTAAAAAAAAACCAACGGCGCGAAATAGCATTTGAATCAAGAACATCGTTAAACATAGGCAACCATGTGCACGTTTAGTTCTTTTCTGGTAGAGGGTTGGTTTGTAGGTAGGAGAGACGTCACTTTTGGTTTGTTGTTGTGAATGAAACCACGTAGTAAGTTAGCTAGGTTAAGTTTAGTTGCTTTGGTAGTTAATAAAATGGAAAGCCTTTGTTTAACTACAATTAATCGTAACGACAACGACGCCACAGTTTCCCCAACACGCGTAGCTAATTCCTAACGTTATCCCACTCTGGGAAAAGGGCCGGGGAAGTACGATAGAATTCATAATATCGTGAACTGGGGTAAATTTGTGATATTCAAATATTTGCATTGATTCAGAACGTTTAATTTGATTTCATCCACTAAGAAGGTCTTCAACCTGCGTATCTTAGTCGCAGCTTTGTTTTTCTTTTTTTTTTTGTCAGTAGATGTGGAGGAATAAATAATTTTGTGTCCTCCATATATTTTGTGTTTTATTTAGCGGTACTTTTCCAACATTGGAGTCCACTATTTGCATCTGAACGCATCCCGCGATTTTTCAAAAACACAATGTAAGGTTCCATTTTGTCCGACGATCACAGCCAAGGCCAAATTTTTGAATTTTTCGCGGGCTTTCAATTTTTTTTTTTCACGTATCAGTTTAAGGCGGGAGGTTTGGGTTATCACAACACGTAAAATATTTACTTGTTAACAATGACCACGATGACAATTGTAATACTTAAATTTTTCATGAGGTTATGCTACATTTCGTACCTGTCAAAAATTTTTAAAAACCCGGAGTGGGACGGCCGTATAACGCTTCAAACGTTATCTATCTAGTGGGTCGTATGCCATATGCAATTACTATTCGACAGGTGTACTTTTGCCTACTACTGCTACAATGAAATTCTCACGACTACTTCTCTTAACAGTTCTCTATTCTGTAAGTACATCCAACAAAACATACTTAGTTCACTTTATCAATCTGCTGTTTATAGTTCACTTGCGCTGGAGGTAAGATTATATAGCCCAGAAAGGTCACCTACACAAAACTATTTTTGTAGCCGACAACAAAATCTGGAGCCATTGGGTCCAAAACTTAAACCGCCTCATACAACTAAAGGCTAGGCAAAGTTTGGGTATTTTTAATAAGCTACGGAGCACCATATCTCGACGAGTCCAGCAGAATTTAGCAAGCCTTAATCCATATCTGAGCAACTCTGCTAACACACCGAAAGTCAACGTTCAGTCTAGTAGCACATCTGGTGGTTGCGGCAATTTAGGAAGTACCATTTCTCAGCAGGTGCATGATGATTTGAGACCAGTGCGTGAAATGCGAGCTACATTCAGAATAAAATTCGGAGAAGAAGGTACTACAGTCGCCACGTTTAAAGGTCTCCATGAAAATATAAGCAGGTTCTGAAATTTTTACATTAGATATTTACAGATAAACAACTGATTGTGCGCGATGGGGCCTTTTACAAATGCAAAGGTACCATTTCCCAAGTGGACGGTTCCTGCTCCGGTACTCTACGCAAATCGTCTTTCAAAAGAAAGAGAGACTTCTGTTACGCAAATAGGATGTCAATTATTCAAAACTGGTACTGCATTTCGACCGGTAGCGGTTCCAGTTCCCAATTTGTCAATGGAAAGGTGTACTCAGAGATTTCTTAGTAACCTAGATACGGTGATCCTATGCAAAAGCGAACATACGTTCTTGGCCAACATGTACACTATGCGTTTTGCTTTCCATCTTCTTTTACAGCATGGGAACGCAGGAGTATGATTTTGTAGGTCTTTGTTTAAACCTAGCAATTTACGATTTTGCGCAGTAAACCCTTAAATTCTGCTAGCGCAAGTCGGTTCTTAATTCATACAATCTCCGGTGTTTGTCAGTTTGTTCTAAGAGATTTCTTAGGTTATAAGATTTATATCACGGTTATAAGTTTAAATTGCATAGAATTTCTAAAAATGGGTTACAGAGTGTGTGTTGTATGCAAAGAAAGATCTAATAATTCTTTTGTTTCGCAAAAATATTACAAAGATTTTTAATAATCCCGACATGAACAATCAGTGCATTTCTCAGGGATTACTAGATAATCACAAAATATAATTGATGAAGGCAATAGCGCAAATTTAAAATTATTAATTTAAAAGTCCGCTTGCAACACGAAGCAAAACTGGTAAATTGAAGTCGACAGTCAAATTTATTCCAACGATCTTGTCCGTGTAATATTTTAATCTTAACATTACAAATCATTTTGGAGATTGCTTAGAAACTTTTCGTTTGCCACTTGTTAAAAAACTCGAGTTATGATTCTCTTTTATACCATTTTAAATCAGTGCGCCAAATTATCAACCAATGTGAACAGTCGCTAGAATTAGACGAAGATAACACTAGTATGTAGTGCACATTACAACGAGTAAGAGAAAGACAGAGAACCGAAAGTATGTCGACACTATTTTCATACATGTTGTTCCACACTTTACTGCCCATAGCCGTATCTAGCTTACTAAGAAATCTCTGGGTGTACTGCAAAGGTCCCCGGAAACACCCCAGTCTGTTGATTTCGGCGCGAGATTACAGAAATTTGTGTGGTAACGTTGGGTATCCTGTAACTTACAAATACTTCAGCACTCATCCTATAGGAGAGCACAGATCTGATATAAGGTGCTCCACTGGTACTCCTTATTCGTGTACTTACACGGAACACAGAAATCCCTACCTGTCCAATTAAACACGCTTTGTTATAAAAAAGTTTAATGTACCGTTACACTGTTAAAATAATAAAAAGTATGTTGGTTGCAGTGAGAGAATACTATCCACTAATATCTTTTTGGTCGTATCACAAGAAAAACAATCACATTTTCACTAGTATAAAAGGCGCGTGCATTCAGAAAACCAAGTGCTGAAAATGATAACGACATGTTTATGCATAAATTAGTACTGATACTGGTTTAATTCTTTATGAAAGAACTCTATAAAGCTTGTCTTTTTCTGCTCAAGTCTTGAAAATACTTTCGCACGACGTTATCATAGTTTCAATTAATAAAATATCACTTGTCATGTCTGGTAAAACGTCGCTTGTGGATTCGATGGGTCCAATGAGCGTCGGCGCGAACACCGTGGCCAGGTTGTGTGGGTTCATTTTATTGATGGCAGAATGTAAAGATACCCTACAAAGCAACAACAATAAAATGATTACAATAACGACAAAAATACCTGTGCAAATGCTCAACCACATATTTTAAAGTGTCATAATGAGCTTTTGGCAACGACTTCAACGCATGTTTAATCGACGATATTTTCAAATCGTTATTTTTGTGTTCTGTAAAAAAAAAAACAAGTCACAAGATCCGTTCTAACGACAGCAACTTACGCATCGCGTCTATCAGAAGCGGATGCACGATAAAAGTAATAAGAGGTATCGGCAATAACCTCAGGTACGACTTCAACGCTCCGGTTATCACGTTGATGTTTGGATATTTTTCTTGGCTCAAGTCTGCTTTCTCGCCGTCTGTAATTACATGATTTGATTCTTTTCACCGGCGCATCCGCATGCTATACCTTTGTCAAATGCCATTTTGATGGCTTCTATTTCTTCTGCGAATCCGCTCAGGCGGTAAATTCCTTCGGTTGTCAGACCTCTGGCCTCAACTTCCGCTACCGATTTTGTCACTACGAACGGTAATTTGGCATTGTGTGCTGTTAAAAGCGTTGTTAATTCGATTCCAAAAACGCCTCGTAAGTATTTGAGATCGGGAACGCAATCATTGGGAAACTTTTCGGAGCATCGTACTGCATAAACGAAACGAAGTTTATCAAATTTTGTACATAAAACCTGGTGCTCTTATACTTGTAATAATAATTTGACTTGGACCGTTGCTTTATCAAGACATTGTGAAAGTAAATTTCCTTATTAACTGTTAATTTGATAAAAAATAGTGCGTTTCACACCCAACTGATAAAAAAGTAGGTAAATTAATTCAATATTCAAATATCAACATCCAAATTTAGAAATAACATGAATTATATAAACGTGTACGTCAAAAAGATAAGACGCCTTTATTTATTTATTTACTGATCATTTGACGTAAATATTACGATCAGATACCAGTTTACGGCAAATTAAACACAATTGCACATTTATAAATCAATATTAGTGTACGTCTAATGACTCACTGTGGGAAATTTTATTACAGTTTGAATCCTCTTATTTCAGATACTTGCTACGTCAATCAGCAACTGTAGTACTTTTTGAAAAACGATTACGTTTAATCGGTCCTAGAATTTACTATCAGTAAACAAAGATCTTATCATATGCAAATAATTGTATGCCTACATCTGACACAAAATAAAATAAAAATTACAATGTAAAGCAATTACGGAATGCGACATGACATAACGATGATGCCATAATTAAATTGACCACCACATTCCATCTCTACTGCTTATGATACAATTATTGTCCCCAATTAGCGCTTGTGTCACTGAACCCAAACAACAAAATTAAATACTCACCATGAGCAATCATTCCACAGTCCTCACATCGCTTTCCCTGGAAGGTAAAGCCCCACAGAAAATTTCCACACAATTCGCACCAATTAAGACCCTTAAAAGTCGTCAGTTTAAAAGAATGCTGTTTCTCGTATTTCTCGGGAAAATTAGGTCCTAATATCTGTTGACTTAATGGAATACTCTGAGGAATGTTTGCGTCTGTCATGTAATTCTTATTTCTAGAATTCAACCACGATCAAACAACATATTTAAAAACTACCACAATTTTACTTGGCATTTTCCTTCGTCAGAGCCCTCAGTTTGCGCTTATTCAGCGTCATATAAGGACTCTCCTGATAATTGGCGGTGGCAAGTCTCTGCAAGATCATGGGGGCTTTCAGTTCTAGATACATGGTAACTAGTCCATCAGCGACTAGCGACCGCACGCAATCGTATCTTTTTTCTCGAACATACAGCCCCGAGTTGGGGTCATAGAAAAGCTTGTAGTGATGAATTTTATTATTAAATCTGAGAACCGATCGAAAAAAAAAAAAGAAAGAAATGAAACGAGGGTGTCGGCGGTGAACTCACTTGAGACTCAAAGTGTGGAACCTGCCGTTTGCCGAGGGGCTGCTTCGGACCAGATACGCCCCGTTTTCGTGAGCACTGAGGAGATTCTGGGCTTCAACGTGCGAGATGGCTCCATGGTAATCTCGTCCCAGGTAATTGGGCAGATCGGGGGGCACCTCATCGCTTATGATCGGAATGGGCACGGGGGCGGCTAGCTGCATCCGGTACACTACAAGCACACCGTGGGGGCCAAATGTAAACAACGCAAGATGTACGTACACTTCAAGAAATCGACTGAAGGAGGATAAAGATAATTACAACACGCCTCCATGTCTAATTTGCTAACGGAGAAAACTCCGACACCGACCATCTTAAGATAATTGAGGTTATATCACTTACGGTCACTTTTCCAAACTGTGTGAACTGGAGAATCCGTCTCGAAACCCATTTCGACAAACAGCTTATCTCGTATTTACACAGAGATAACGAGTGTGCATTTTATTGCACTGTAAACATATCACATCGGATGCACACAGCTGGGACTGTAAATAATACAGACAGAAGAAAAAATGACAGGTGACAGGTGCTGCCGCCATGAAACAAAAAGACAAGACAAACGGCAACAAGAACGTTTGAAACGCACAAAAAATCGGGAAAATAGCAACAGATTTTATAAAAAGCTACAAACGAACAAAACGTGACGGAAATCAAACTGTTATGATCTAATGAACAAATATATACGAACGGAAAAAATAAACTCCAGCTAATGCAAAACCGTACAAAGACAAACTCACGGTTTTGGTTCCCGAAATTTGTAACAGATGGCGGTTCCCCAGAAAACCAAACCACAGCCAAACTAAGAACTTGAGTAGGGACTAAATTTATTTTTAAATACTTTTAAAAACTGTGACAAATTACCTAGAGCTAGAATTGGGGTGGTAAGTATATAAAGCTGTTTAAAATTTTCGTTTTCTAATCCTCTTTTCAATGAATCACAACTGTCGCTCTTCCAGTCTTGTACATTTCCACTTTGTGTAGTTCGGGACGAGGGTGGGAAAGAAGCAATACAAGTAATTTTAATCACTGTTTTTATTCATATCGCAATACATTGCAGGGAATGTTTAATTTTGTACTAAATAAAGTCACAGTAAAATTTTAATATAATATATCTATAAAATAACCTATGCATAACAATAATCTGTAAATAAATAACCATACAAATATATATACATCACAATAATATGAAAAATTCCAATCTCAACAACTCAAAATCCCTCGACTTGCCAATACCTCAACTACTTTTGACGAGCCCGGTAAGTACGTTCCTCGTTTGTTAAAAAAGTTCTCCAAGTAATAATTCCGCGAATAAATACTTGTTCCTGGTTTTCCACAGATTCGTTATCAGCATTCGATTGTGTACCAGGAAAAAATATTAACGAAACGAAATCATAATCAAAACGTGATAATATCGATACGATAAAAGCGAATACTTGCTATTGTAAGAATTGACAGTTAAAACTTATATATTTTGAATTTGAGTAACTTTATCGCTTGACATAAATACATGATAATTGGGAAACAACTTAAACTATTGCTGGGCGCAATATATAAGTTAACGTTTTTTCTGCACTATTCTACCTAAAACTACATTATCCACATAATATAATATAGGTGAACGCAGTTTGAATCTTATCATCCTTTAAAATTATTGTAGGATTTTTAGAAGAGTATACTTTGGCTGAATTTTGTTCCGCTTACATTCTTACCACATTCCTGAGTAATATTTGGAATAATTTTTGGCAGTAACTTGGCTTATTATCGTTTCTTGTTCCTTAAAGATGCGTCTAAAACATGAAATAATCAATTACATAACACACCCTTGTGTCCAAGCAACTAACCCAATTTCCTTATCTTAGGCGTGCTTTTTGTGCTTAACATAGCGACAATAATTAAGTGAAAATGAAATAATAAAAAAGTGTTACGATCGTCTGTATCATGTATAATTCCGACTCATGCCATGCCGCGGTTCTTTTTGTCTTTGTAACATGCATTCGAGTGTCAATGAGGTAAAAATATGTGTGGGTAAATGAAAAAAAAAAAAAACTACTCAATGCGGGTACTACTCTACAAATAATACATGTAAAAATGTTGAAATATTTATATTTATAAAGCGAAATTCCACTAAGCGTTTAAAACAATGAGTATTAAAATTCTGCTAACAATGTACCTAATAACAATTTAATATAAAAATTCGTTTCTGCCAACAAATTCCAAAGCGTATATTCAAGTAATTATGATCACCATTACTCAAATATAATCAGCTACTAACTTACGCGTTTGCTACAAACACTTACAAATATTATGCACAATTACCTGAGCCTTAATACACAATATTTTTTTCATTTTCAAGAACGCAACTGGCCATGAAATCGACGCAAACAATCAAAAACATTACATGTATGTACCATGATAAATCGACTTCATGGCCAGCTTGTACGTAAGTACACAACAATTATTAACTGGTTTTACAGGCAGAATACACATAAAATAGTGCAGAGTTTACAATTCAATAACAATATGTGGTTGTAAAGTAAAATCAGTCAGTTGTTAAGGATAAAAAAGTATCAACATCGTCTATTAATACTGTCGCGGATACTGGGTGAACAATAAAGACGATCGAATGTCAAATAAAAACCTACGCGATTAATTGTTTAGAGACGAAAGTTGAAAGTTCACTGGACTACGAGAAATGTTACGAGTTTACTTTTATAAATGTAACAAAAATTCTAACATTGGAAGCCGGCTTCAATGTCGCACCCAGTAAAGAGAAAATGAACATCTTGTAAAGAGTAAATACTAGAACCCAGCTCCTAACGTATAACAAAATAAATTAGAAATAAATAGAGCGTACGTGCCGTACGTTAAAAAATCTTACAATGAGCATACTAAAAGTAAGACAGAGAATTATAAAAATACAAAACACTCTAAATCCCACATGAGACCAATTTCAATACGTTATTGAAACCAAATTCTGAAGCACAATTTTGCATCGTTACAATGGAAACACACATATTGCAATATTTTCGAAGCGGCAATTTTACAACTTCTCAATTGCACCGTGGAATGTAAATCGAAATCAGTAACATTACATACCATTTTACAATACTGCGCGCTGTAGGAAACATTTATTTGTAAACTTGGCTTTTATTCATCACCACTTTCGCCACCGCATAAAAAAATATCTTCGCTCAATTCGCTACAAGAAACAAAAAGAAATCAAAAGACGACACCATGAGGATTGGCACTTGTTATCTATCTAACACAAAAAGAGTTAGTTAATAAAAACCAAGTTAATAACGCACACAAAGGAGGCGCGGTCGAAAACGTTTTATTTCACAGTTGGCACGTTGCGGCCAATTCTACACCAAAACGTTTTCGATCGCACTAGAAACGCACCAGTGATATAGTGATATGTAGATCGATTCTTTACAACAATATCACAACGGAATCGGGGTCGGATATACACTGCAGAACCCCGCGTCGATACCACTATAACACTACGAATTTAGAATTTCCGTTCACAAAGCTTGCTCTTGAAGCGTTTTTACTTTACAAAACAGGGTAGAAAACACAACAAAATCGTGATGGAATGATGGATGATCAGTGTGCTATTACACCTACGTTCAATCGTAATCGGTGTCCACGCGATTCTTCAGTTGTTCCTGGTGAATTTCCAAAGCAAGCATGATCAAAATCAACGTCAATAACGTCGGTGTACACAGAAGATTAACGACAAGCGAAACGACACAGTTAAAGAAAAACGCCAATTGAATATAATTAACGTCATGCAAAAGTTCGTAAATGACTTAACCTCTAGCACACTAAACTAAAACTAAATAAACACAGTTTGCTACGAACTGAAAAGGTTTTTTTTTAATAGTTTTTAAGAGAGTAGTAATTCGGTTTGTCGAGCAAGGGTTTCGACTGATGTGGCGAGAAATAAATTAGGAGACAAAAAGCATGCCTAGAGAGAAACTACGTCAAAACTAAAAACTGTGTACACGGACGAGTGAGGTAATCCGCCAATTGCCCTAGCAAGGAGAATAATTGTTTCGTTGCGACTGAAAGCTGGATGGGTTTTCGTATTAAAAACGGTTTTTGATAACCTGGAATGTGAGTTCGTGTTGCATTGTTATCAAGGAACAATGGGATAGACGTTCGTATCTCGGCAAAAGCTTCAAATTTTCTAACGAAGTTTCAGATCGGAATCCTTCAAGTTTATGTAATCACAGTATTGTAAATGTAACATTTTATTGTTTCGGGGCTGAAATTTGACTAATAAGCTTGGCGAGTTTTCCACCACAATAACGTGAAAGGGATTCATTTATGACTTTCACGTAAACGAGGGAGTTTTAGGACGCTTCAGGATTTCATTTTTGAAAACGTGCACGACTTCATTATGTTTTGCTCGTGTGACAGGTACACGACATGAAAAATGAATAGTTTTCATAAAACTTAGCTACTTCTTTACGTGTGCGAATAAGAAGTGACAAAAACTCTTTTTATACTAACTTAAAGCATATGTCTTTTTCTAATTAAAGAAAATTCTCGAGGTAGTAGCCATTGACAAAATAAATATATATATATATATACGTCAATAATAACTTTTGGCCTCGCGCCAGATTTAGGCAACAAGTAATGGGAGTATATGAAAACCACATCCTAGCCTCAAACCTGTCATATCAGTGTTCAAATTTGTATTTATGGTTGCATCATTTACAACAACCGAATGCTTGACACGTTGTAAAGTAGGTAAATATTTGGAGTTATAGTTTAAACTGTTTTCGAGTAAAAGAAAGAAAAAGTGGTAGGAATCAGTTTATTCAGAAACAATTTTTTGGAATTAAAACAGCCACATAGAGGCTGAAGAAATTAAGATAATCAAAGAGAAAAGAAAACAACTTAAAACTAGGAAAGCTTACTTCGTAGTAAGTGCAATTATATTCTATGAACATTTAATACTACTATAAAACACCAAAGTAGATTATTCATATTTCTTATGAAGTTAGAGATTGCAATTATTAACAAAGTTGACAACGTATGGATAAAGTTAAATATATATCTTTTAGTCAAAAGAGGTGTCTGCATAATTTGTTACAGTGTGTTTGCAGGTATATTTGTACAATGCAGCAGCTGCTGCATTCACTATCCAAATGTAATGTATAAATAATGATTTGTCTGGTGTATGGTGCGGTCTTAAAATTAGGTATTTTTACTATATTTCAATTGGATAAATATTTTTACACATATTTGTAAATTCTCGTGCTTTGCCAGTTTTAGACGTTGGAATTTTAATTATTAGCGTATCGTTTTTGTCTTGAATGCCGTCATTATTTTTCAATTTATCCATTCCACATGCTCCTACAACTTCTAATAAAAAATAAACCTAAAACATAATGATTTATAGACAATGTGATTGACCTTGTTTGAGATCACCTTTAACATCGTGTACATTTAATCACGGGCTTCTGTTAAAAATTTTGGTAAGTCTTCTCTTGTAAATATATTTGATTTCTTGGCAATGTAACCTATATTTTTTGCTTGAAAACTTGGTGTACTTAGATATATCTATGCTGTTTTTTATTAACAGAGTTGACTTTAACTACGACTATGCAGCCCAAAGTGTTAAAGATTTCACAGAATTTGCTTTTTCAGCGAAATACTCGTATGCAATGAGGTGTTCTCCATATATTTTGCATGGTTGTTTCTGCGCAAAAAAAAAAAAATTCATACCGCTTTTCATAAACTGTGGCTGAGTTTTTAGGTAATAAATTTGATATATTATCTGCCAGTTTTTGCAAGTTCGGTTGAATGCATGTAAACTGCTTGTTATTATTGCTATCCATCTCTATTTTGCAATTGCTGCAGATCTTTCTGCAAGCAAAAATATTAAAAGTGCCGAAAAATAAGAGGTATGCTTCATACTTTCATTTAAAATGGGCATGTAAGCTAATAATCTGTTCTGTAATAATAATAAAAGCTTATTATAGGTTATGTAGATACAAGAAAATTGTTCAAATTCTTCCTTTCCGCATACTCCTACAACTTCGAATAAAAAATATACCTAAAACATTATGTTTTATAGACAATGTGATTGACCTTCTTTGAGATTACCTTTGACATTAGGTACATTAATCACGGGCCTCTGTTAAAAATTTTCGTAAGTTTTCTCTTGTAAATATATTTGATTTCTGGGAAACATAACCTATATTTTTTGCTTGAGAACTTGGTGTACTTAGATTATATCTACGCTGTTTTATATTAACAGAGTTGACTTTAACAACGACTATGTAGCCCAAAATGTTGATTTCACAGAATTTTCTTTTTCAGCGAAATACTCGTATGCAAAATGAGATATTCTCCATATAATGTTTTCCATGGTTGTTTCTGCACCGAACAAAAACTTATTACAGGTTATGTGGATACACATTGTTCGCTGCCATAGAATGTCGCTGCACTTCAAGAAATCCGCTGTTGCCATGCAAGGTTGCGACGTTGCGAGATTACGCGCAAATTTAGTTAATAAATTATATTTATAAAATTAATAAACCGGATGTGTTTCTAATAACTAATAAAAAGGGTTATCAAAGAGTATAGAATTACTGCTAAACCGAAAAACAATTTATAACCTTGTAAAATGTAATTGTGGAGGTAGATAATACTAATATGACAACACCGCATTTAATTTCTGTGCCGATTTTTGAACATAGAAAAAGCACATTACTGCGCGATTTCGAAAAAAGAAACATTACTATTTTTTAGCAGCTTTTAACCTCTCTTTTTATATTTCTCCAAGAAAGGCGTACATGTCAATTTCAAAATACCAGTTTAAGTTGGAGTAAGAAATTTACTTTTATGGTTGTGTGTACAGGCACTTCTACAATTAGCAGTACAAGTTTTTGTTAATCTCTTAAATTATTTTTCTACTTATGGAGCCAATCTGGATATTTGCTTAAGGGTGTGCTTTAAATTTTAGGAATTAATATCTTGGAACGTCATGCATCGTTTCCATACATTTTTGAGCTTCTGTTTTATTTTCTAATCACTTGGAATTTCATTTCCAAAAACAAAAATTGTACTTGAAATGATAGATATGAAGCTCATTATTCCGAAACATGTAATTATAAGATCAAATGTTACTATGCATGAAATGTATTATTTGATATAAAGTAACTTTTGATATCGCATTCTTTAGATTTTTTTCATGGGTACTTTACAGTTAATAGTATCACCATGAAATTGTTTCTTAGATTTGTTTTTCTTTCTTCCGGTATTTGAATCACAATTTGATAATCTTAAAACAACGACAATTAATTTAACTTTAGCTTGAGTTGTGAACCTGAAAGTTGTTTTGTATGAATTTGTGTGACAAAAGTGTACTAAAGATGAAAATAATTACTTATACTCTTTTATAATCATTAATTACATTTGTAGCAATTTTTGGCCTCTCGTATTTTATATTATTTTATCCAAGAAACAAGCGAAATTTGAAAAACCAGTTTAATATTTTAATGGAGCAGTAATTATGAACCCAAATGTTGCTATGGATAAAAACTATTATTTGATTTAAATTAACTTTTGGAATCACAGTCTTTGGATTTTTTTCGTAGATACTCCACAGTAAACAACATAATTATAAATCTGTCCCTTTGATTTATTAATTTCTCAATCCGCCGATATTTGAAAGACGATTTGGTATTCTTAAAACAAGGGTTACTAATTTAATGTCCCCTTGGACTGTGAGCCTGAAAGTTGTTTTGTATGAATCCATATGGGGTCAAAGTGTACTAAAGATGAAAAGAATGACTTCGTTTATAGCAACTTTTGGCCTCTCGTGTTTAATATTTCTCCAAGAATGTTTTTAATTTTGTAAGATATTGGGCCAATAAAACATACACAGACAACATTATTTGCAATTCTTCCAACCACCTATGGATTCATAAAATATCAACTTTTGCATCTTTAATTGAAATATTGTTCAATTCTAATCTAAACCATGAAAACTATAATAAAGAACTTCAGTCCATAAAACAAATTGCAATAAATAATGACTTTAAAGTAAAATTAATCCACAATCTAATTGACAAAATAAGATACAAAATTAAAAAAAAAACAATGTTGCTCGTTGTTCAAAACGGACCATGATACTAAGGAAGACATAGGTAGATATTATTTTCTGGATTTTATTGAAACATTATCTTACAAAATTAAAAACATACTAAATAGAGTGAATAAAAATGTTAATATTTCATTTATAAAAATTAATTCAACCAGAAATCAGTTACTGAACAACAAAGATAAAATTACTTAACTAGATAAAGCCGGAGTCTATCAATTACAATTTGAATGTTGAGATTGTGCCTTAAATTTTACGAATCCATATCGTGAAATAATACACCTCATGAATTTCACCGGCTTGTGTTGAAATTTCGGGTTTCCAATTTTAAATTTATTAATCTAGTACTTCGTTCCAAAAACAAAATTGTGCCCGGAATGATGGGTTAATTACCTGTTTTCACATATACGAAGCGCACGAGTCCGAAAGTTACCTAACATGCAATTATGAGGCTAAATGTTGCTATGGATGAAAACTATTATTTGACTTAAAGTAACTTTTGGCATCACAGTCTTTAGATCTTTTTTCATAGGTATTTTACACTTA